TAGCTTGTGGGCAAAACTGAATGATTTATTACAAGCATTTTACCAGAAAACTCATGCTGAGATACTTCTTCAGCAGTGTCTTATGATATGGTGTCCAAGAGTGCTCATTATCAGGTGAAGTCATTAAAAACCTGCCATTGCCTTCTGATAAATCAAGTTATAGAAGCAATTTTTTAAAACCAATTTTTCAAAGCATAAATCAAATCTGAGTCAAATACTTTAAGATCAAGGTTTGAACAGAGTTCTATAAATGTCTTCAAAGTGCTAAGAAAATGAAGGAATTGTGTCAAGTATTCTTGCAGTGGGTAAGTGCCCATCTGTGCTAGACATGGCCCCAGCTCCCTAAAACCAGGTGAGAGAAGCCAGCGACACTGCCCATGGTCTGAAGGAAGAACTACACATATTTTCAGACCTCAGAGAAATTGGCTGTCTGTTTCAATCCATCTACAAGAAAATGTTTACTTATTCACATCCTGACGTTCAGAAAACAGCACTTTTAAATGCACACAGCAGGGAAAATGCACCGTTCTTTTTTCAGAGTGTTTATGTTCAGTGCCCGGATGGTACATGTACAGGTTTGAACGCTCCTGTAGCTCCAGAAGATGTGAACTAGATCCTGCAGTATGATTCACTGATTTGAACCTGTGTCACAGAGATGTTTCTCACCAAGAGAAGTTTTTTACCAAGGCAGGTAGTTGCAGTTCATGCACCAGCAAAGCAAAGTCCTGCCATCCATGTCCCAGCCGAGTGTCTTCATTTGTCATCACTATAGATAGAGCTGTTAGCTGATGTCATCTTCCCTGCACCACCTTTATTTGGTTGAAAAGTTTCAATGAAAAAAATTCCTGTTATGGTGCTTATGTGGGATACCGAGGGCCAGGACTTCTCTAAGATTTCTTGCTCCATCTGGGATTGTACGAGAGTTCATGTCAAGTAAAGTAAATCCTACATCTGTCGCAGGAAATTCAGTGATGGGATGGTTTAGGACTGTTCTTTGCACGCAAACTGGTGGGAAAACACATTTTTGATAAATGTGTTCAAATCCCCTAGCAGTTTGGTTAAGAGTAGATTAGAGGAACAAACCAACTGGTTTGTTGGTTTAGGAAGGGAGATGGGAGCGCAGTGTATCATTGTCTGGGGGCGTCGCTCAATCTACTAGTGGAGATTTAGGTGCAGTACATTAAATTACAGCCTATTTATGGATTTGAGGGTGTCCGTGCAATTAAATAGTAACTCATACACAGTGAACTTTGAGATCTGGACCCTACAGTGAGGAAAAAACAACACACAGTTCCCACATTGGTTTGGCCAATTCAAACGAGCTCTGCTATGAACGATCTTTAACCTAGCATTTTCTCAGCATGCTGCTGTGTCTGAGAGGAAAAAAAACCCTTCCTAGCACAAGGCAGTTGGTGTAAAATCTAGTGGATAGCTATTTTGCATAGAATTAAATGGAAAAAAAGGGGATTGTGAATGATACAATTGGCTGTTCTAGGCTGTAAAACCAGATGGGAGTGTAATCCCATCGTGCGTATGACACAGGCTAAGGACCTTCCCCCAGTGCCCTCTGCTCCTTCCAGCTGTTTGATCTCTGGGATACCCATGGGCAGAAAGCAGCAGGACTGAACGGAGTTCAGCACATACCTGAGCTGGCTGTGCAAATAAAACTTTGATGACTGGCATGACATACTATAGATGCAGAATCACCTGGGGCTCATCTCATTAGACAGTCTCTGTTGATGACTTCTTTCTCATTCCCACTGGTGGTGTTTCATCTAGTTTTGAATTATTAAGTGGTGGTAGGTTTGATTCTGTGTGTTGTTGTACGACTGTTGAATCAGGAATTATGACCAGTTACAGTACGATAAAGCCAGAACAGCGAGACGGGGGGGTTAGGCGCTTTCCGTAGTATCTCTGATCATAGGAGAGATTTATTAGCCTTTGACTAGGTAAGCTAAAGCCATTGTTTAAGTCCACCCATTGGAAAAGCAAGAAAGCTGTGCCTGTGATTTTTCATGTTTGTCCACTTTTGTGTTCATCTGGCACTGTGTTTTGCTGCTGTTGTTTGCATTCCTCTCTGCATGGTTCAGAGTACCCACCGTCCGACACTCTCTCATTCTTATAGTCCTAAATTTCCCATACAAAAAAGAAGAGAGTAAGAAACGGTAGGAAGAAAGTGCGCTAAATACCCAACTTTCATGTGAGCTACTTTTAAATGTTTCTGCTCAGTTACTGTCATTTCACTGACAGCCCCATCAGAGTAAGTTTTGGGAAGTGAATTGGACAGCGATGGTCTGGCAGCTCTTACACCACCAACTATTTCAAAATTACATCTCGATGAAGCATGTTGGCAACTGTGTGTACATGACCTCTGTTTGTCCTTTAGCGAAAAAAGCTGGTGGCAGCCTGAACCATTGTTCTTCTTACTTAAACAAGTCTTTCAACTGGGAGCCAAAAAATGCTTTTCGGTAAAGCTTTGAAAAGCCATAAAAGAAGTCCAGCAGCTTACAGGAATTTTCCATTGCCTGGCTATTCACATACTAGAATAGACATTTTCTGTGTGTTTTGGGTAATGCGTAGCTCCCGAACATTGCACCTTGTCCTGTCAAATGAACTTATGATTAATAATTTTTTTTTTTTCATTTTTACTGGTGCTTTCAGACATTTATAGCCTCGGACCCTTTTGATTATTCCTTTTTTGACAATATACATACATCTCCAATCCCTGTTCATACGGTACATAATTTCTCAGTCTTTATTATTTCTGCTGTCCGTCATTCTTTAAAAAGTTTTCCAAATAACTTGAAATTGGTACATGTTGTACAAACTATTTTTGGCATGATAACATCAGGAATATGTCTCTTCCTTCAGAAACCAATCACCAGTCAATCAAGTTTCTACCTTTTAATACAACTAAAGTATTCAGAACCAGTGGTGTGGCTCCAACTATACTCTGGCAGCAATGGGCTTGTTTAAATTGGGGATTGTCAGATGAGCAACTTGGGCTGATTTTGGCTAGCAAGAGAAGGGTGACCTTTCAGGTAAGCATGTGTTAAAAGAACGGGACTTTGATCCATACTGTCTCAGCACGTTTGTGGCATAATGTGCTCTGAGCAGGAAATAACAGTAAACAAGTAGGCTGTTCAGATACAAGTACTTTGCAGTTTGTGGTGCTTTTTACGGGGAGTTTATTATAGGACGTTACACAAAAGCCAGGCTGAAACTTGTTATTTCATTAGCCAAAGTTAGTAGCTTGGCCAGATGTTAAAAAGCTTTAGAAAAAAATCTTACTCATTTTTTGATAATTGTAGTCATTCATTCTGTATCATCACACAGACCTCTATCATGAGAGGGATCCTCTGGCCTGGCCTGGACTCGGACACACATGTTTCTTTGAAGATCTGGAGTGTACTGTCTTGTTGTATGTTTAAATCTTGCAGTGGCAAAAGAATCTGACTAACTGGTTAATATCCCATATTTTTTCCTCTTGCCTTTCTGAAAGACAATATTTTGCTGTCTTTTTGCTTCTACAGGTATTTCCCAGCTTAAAATTTAGCTTCATTTCTAGAGGTTCCTAAATTTCTTCATTAGTTCTTTTAAAACTCCCAGGTGCGTCTCCCCTTAAGTTGAGGACACATATATATTTAGTTTTGTTCAGACGTCCTTCCATCATCATCTTATTCAGTCCTCGTTCCTCCAGCTGAGTCTAGTCATTTTCATGAATTTTCCTGTAAAAGGTTCTTTGATGTCCTCATTTTCATTACTCATTTTATTGCAAACCAAGCCACACTGGTATTTAAAATCATGGTATTTTGTGGAAGTGAGATGTATTTTGTCTTAATGGAAATACAGCTTCCAAAAACAATTTACATTTTTGCTGTGGTCTTGAATATTAATGAGACTTCTTTTACTCACAAACTGGAGCTGTTTGACAGTCTGGTATTATTTTTATCCAGATTTTTCCAGGAAGTTGGCAACAGTATGTGCTGGAAAGCAGTTCTTCAGTATCTCTTTCACTGAAATTGGTGGTTCATCAACACTGTCTGTAATTTCTGTTTCGCTTGCACAGCAATAGAATTCAGTATGAATTGCAAATAAAAGGAATCTCAACATTCTGCAGTTTTTCGGCACATAGAGATGAATTAACTCTGCTCAGTTTTATGTTTTCCGATGTTGTAGAAAAATACAAAGAATTTAGGCCCTTACCTAAGACTGATCACAAGTTGTCTGAACTTAAAGGTTTTTCCCTGTTCCAATGTACTTAAACAACAAGGCAACATAGTATCAAAACATCAATATCAAAACAGGTGCTTTCAAAGACAGGATTTAAAAATTGTAAAGTATTAATGTAAAGCATGTAAAGCACCTGAGATCAGGCTCTACCCCAGGTGAGGTGTAGGTCTGGTAAAAGGGGCAATATGGGTGGCTTCAAAATATGTGCTTCGTCTATTCATGTTCCTCTCATGGACCTGCATTGCTTAGAGCATAAGAAAGAAAGAGCTCAAACTTCCCATTTCAAGAGTCCCAAGGGCTATTTCTATAGCCAAAAATAACCAGAGCATAGATAAGCTCTTTATGCTAGGAGCTATGACATGGCTAACGGCCCCTATTATTCTTGTTCTGTGCAATCTAGAGAATTTCTCTTGGCTGATAATATTTTCAAGGGAATAATTCCACTTATTAGCCCTCTGTACATCACAGAATTGAAAGTATCTTACTTAATTTACAGTGCTGCAACAAGGTCTCTGCTGCACACAATTTAACTATGCAAAACCAACCTGTATATTTTAGAATATGTTTAGAGTATGATATTTTGTAATAGAGTCAAGTTATAATATACCTAAATCTGCAGGATAATGATTACCTTATTGAAACCTTGGTGTTAGAAATACATGCTATTGGCAATGTGCCTAAATACGTTAAGCAGCTAGTTGCAGATTTTAGTTCTAAGAAACTCACGAGTGATTACTTGGTTTTATTTTCTTAATTGTGTGACTGGCTTAAGTATGCCCACTTTGCTGTATCCTGGCATACTTTTTTAGAGTATTTTCAGAATGTCTTTGCAGTTCTTCAAGGTGTGAATTTAAACGTTCTTCAAACTCTCCTGTATGTTTCTCTTCCTCTTGAAGGAACTTTTCTGTTGTTGCAAGGAAGGACATCTCAGGGGGACACTGAGCAACGAATAGAAAATCATGGTTAGTAAAAACTAGCAAGTACTACAATATGTTTGCATTATCAAATTTTAAATTTGAAAAACTTCTTAACCTATAGCAGCTAATAACGCTATAACTCACCAAGAAAACATGAATTTGGGCATACATGTTTAAAGGCATTCAGGAGACTAAATGACAAAATGTGAACATGATGTTTGAATACCTGTGATATTCACAGCATTAGGATATAGATTTGCCATTAAAAAATTTAATATCCCATTAGACAGAATTAAGCAGCTCCAGAACCTCCAAAATCTTTGGATCAGCTAAAGGTTATGTTCGTCATTTGTATAATTTAGACCAGGATGGAGGACAATAATCTAGTTTTTGGAATTACAGAATATAACTAGTGTTGGGTACTGCTGATTGCCTCCTGTAGTTTCAGCTCTCTGCTTCTGTGATGTGGTGATTTCTGAGGATGGGAAAAACCCTATGCTTATTTCAGTACTATCAACTTCAAGCCCTGATATTTTGGAGAATGTACTAAATTTTATTGGCTGCAAGTAGTTCACTGAAAAATTTTCTTTCTATTTAATGAGCATTTAGTAGACTGAGACAGAAACCATACCAGAATTGGTCTTAAAATGATTGTCATGGGATGCAGAGTTGTATAAAGCAAAGGACATGAGCAAGTCTTTGCTGGAACAAATTCTAAATTTTTAAGCAGGAATTTTTGTTCATTCCTTTTGCTAATACTTAAGATGGATTAATTGGAATGTCTTTATCAAAAGAAATATGAAATAATTTTTCTTTGCCTAAAGATATTATCCTTTTAAAAATAAATTCAGTATTTATTTGTACAGATGCAATTTTATGACATGAATTTTTAACAGTTGACTGAGAAAAAACTTAGTATAGGAGCTCTAATACTGATTAAGAGAAAGTTAATTTTCTGTCTTTATATGATCATATATTGAGAAAGATGATTGACATTTATTATCTTCATTAAACCATATGTTAAATAGTTTTAATAACTGATTGAGTTATTAGAATGTAAAAAGGAAAGTTTATCTGTGAGCACATCAGATAGGAGTGGCTTCAAATGATTTAAATATTCCAATGTTTTGTGGAAAAGGCCAATTCTATTAAACCTGTAAATTTTTATTCTAGGCTCCATTATATCAGAATGGGGTATGCCCTATTTCCATGGCATTTTTGGTCTTCGCTTTCAGCCTGGTTTAAAACTGCCCTTGAGCAGCTTTTCAGGCCAAAAGATACTAACTAGAGAAATACTTTAAAGCACTGTTCTATTCCAACTCTTTGCAGCAGACCTTGAGATGAAATTTAGAGATTTCCTATAGGAAACCCCTTTACTTTTCAAAGTACAGCAAGTAAGAAGTAGCTGGCAATAAATTCTGAAGGTAATACCGTCCTTCTAGAGTGAGACAGGCTTTCTGATGTATAGGGCTTCTAAAATGAAATTCACAGATAAAGCAGAACCTTCCTCCAGATTAGTGTTTTAACAGGGCAGGGAAAAAAAAGTGACTTAATTTGCCACATAGGAATAAGGAACCCAAAGGTATTGGATCACTTTGTGCCACAACACTCTTTTATCAATCCCTGCACTAGCAGGGATAAGAAAAAATGTTAATTTTCCAATGGCTGAGAAACTCTGGATGGAGATCACCTGCCTTCTGGTTTTCCTCATGAACACATGCATGATTTCTCATCCGTAAATAATTATTGTTTTCATATGAATAGTTGTTCCTGAGATTTTGAATGCCACGGCTACATGCATATGTATTCCTTCATGGGCTAGATCACAAATATATCTCCTTGTGACATTTGGATTCAGAGATAGAGTTGGCAGTACTATTTTGAAGAAGGCGGCTTTTGTATTATGAAGAAGACATTGGATTTGAAGGCTTTACTTGAAGAATCACCATGTGTTTCATTTACTGAATACCACCTCTGAAATCACTGATTCAATACTGAGCAAATAAAATACTTCCAGTGAGAAATGTAAGAAACTGGGAAAATGTAAATCTGAAATACAAATTTAATAGGTGTCATCACCTACAGAAAAAAAAGTCATGTCGGCCTTTTCCTTATGGACAGTGGATTTACACAAGTGCTAGTCTTCAGAAGTGTTATATCAAGTTATAAGAAATTCATTATAACAATGTTTACAATTGCTGACTTGTTATTAGAAACATACTGGCCTCATGATCAAGTTATCTTCCTAAAATGCTAGTGTCCTTTGCTTCAACTGGTACTTACTTTGATGTGTTTTTTTCTTGAAATAGACTGTAAACTCCAAATGAGACACTTCTGAATTTCCTCAGAGTTGAGTGAAGAATGTATATCACTTAGAATAAGCAAATAGGTCCCTAATGCACTGGGTTTTATGTGCTTTGAGAGAAGGTTGTATCTAAACAGGTCTAAAAGGCAACATTTCTTGCTAGCAACTAAGCTTTGCTTTCCAAGCCTCTGGTCTGTTCTTTCACTATGTTCTTTATTGTCTTTACTTTCAGTGCCTGAGGAAGAAAAACCATAAAGAAACTGCTTTAATCCATGTCTCAGATGAGATTCATGGTCCCTAGTTTTGAATTTCTTTTCCTCAGATAACACTTCTTTTATGTCTTTTGGTTTTCTAACTGGAGCTGGATAGAAATGGGTTCATTTCTAACCTAACTTGTTTGGGTGGTTAGGCAACAAGGACTCTACTTTTGCATTTCTACAGTGTCAGCTGATCCCATATTTCTTTGTTGTATTCCAGTAATGAGAATCACCTTTCTGCCTCATTATTTGCTGGAAATGAAGGAGTGCACCTGATAGAGATGCTTATCTAGCACATATGAAATATGTGCTAAAGATGTCTTCTCCTTAAGCAAGAACTACCCAAAGTGCTTATGAATTAACTCTGGATTGCTAGGGAGAAGCACTTCAGGAAGCTAAGTCTATTCCTCTCACAGACTGCCTAATTAATTTGCCTCGTGTTAATCTCTTTCTTGCCCCATGAGTTGTCCCAGCATCCTTGGATGCACCTTCAGCAGGGCAGCAAGAAAACCTTAACACTTGGGATATTTTAACATTAGTGGTCAAACAATGAGTGGTCAAATTCCAGAGTGTTAAAGTTTTCTCACGTTTAGCCCCTTCTTTCCAGGAAAGTTCTTGTAACACCAAGACTAGAAATTGGTCTGGCTAATTTGAGTCTCTCTGTGACTAAATTTGGGGGCTTCTGGGAGTACTTTCCTCTAACTCTACACTGCAATACATCTTAGGCAGCAGGTACAGATGCCCATCTTCAACATGCTTCTGCTCATATAAGAAAATCAAAACTGAGATGCATAGGAAATTGCCAAGCAATATAGGAAGGCTTTCACAGAGCCTAAGTACCTAATCAGCTAGGTAACAGTAATACTGCAGAGTGAGAGGCATGGACTACAGCACGCCTCAAGGTAGCATCAGGACTGTCAGAATCATTCCTCATAACGTCCACTGGTAGAATTTCCACAACTTCCCATTGCAATCTATTTATTAAGCAATTTCCCATCCTTAATGTTAGAAGGCTTCCTAATGCCTAATTTAAATTTTCCTTGCTACAGCTTAAATCTTTCATGTCTTTCCCAGGCTTGAAAGCAAGAACAGACAATGTCTGTCCATCATCTGAAGAGAAACATGAGAAATTGTGTACAAATGGACTATTCTGAAGCTGCAACTAATCTTATTGGATTGTTTGTTTGTTTGTTTGTTTGTTTATTTTCTGAAGCTGGACACTGGACTGCTCTATGGAATAGTCTTCCCAGAGACTGGCAACAGATCAGGAAACCATTTTCTGAAGTTGTTCCATTTCAGAAAGAGAGAACAGCCTGAATTACTGTTCAGAGAGAAAGTATTTCTCTAGATTTGGAAAGCCTTGAAACAAGAATTTTGGGGGCTATGGGAATTCCAGTGAATCCCAGCTGAGCCTCTAGTTTACTCTAAGGCAAGAGCAACTTTCTCTACACATGTAACCTCTAAGTAAGAATGTGAAGGGACAGAGGTTCCAGTGGAACATTTACTAAGGTTGTCTGAAGAGTCTGTACTGGGAGGAGAGATGTAAGTCTTTGTCTAAAGCCCTAGAGACTGTTTTCTCTCTCCCCTAAATACCAACACAGTAATTTTGGTAGGTCTCAGGACATCACCTACAATTCTGATGTTTTCAGCTGGTGCTACAAATATTCTTCAGAAAAATGGTCCCTTAAAACATCTTCAGAAGTTTTGAACATATTGGAGATTTCACTTAGGTGAAACATCAGTCCTGAAAACTCTGTCAAAGAACTCTGGTTTACAACACATTGTATGTTTTTTTCCTCTTTCTCCTTGATGCAATGGCTTTCCATTTGAACACAGAACTCTAGCGTAACAGACCATTGAATCATCTCTGCACTAATGCTGTGGTATCCAATGTCAGTGTGAGTGATGATTTAATTTTGGCAATCTTCTGAACTTGTACCTGCTTCAATGCCACTGATTTGGACTTAGACTCTGTACAAGAAATATCCCTTGCTTAATAGTTTCATTATGTACTTTGCCCACACACCAGCTGGAAAGTGTTTTCCTTATCATCTAGTCAACTGCCTTGGCATTGACCCTGTCCTGAGTGCCAGCTGGGAAATAGTTTCCCTGCAGCTTGCAGAAGTGTCTCAGAATGGGCATTTTCCCTGGGCTGGCTAGAAACAGAGGCTTTGTGGTCTGCTGTCTCTGTCTGACACTTCCGACAGAAGAGAGGAGGAGGACTGGTGTTTATCAGACTCTCCTGAAAAAGGCCAGACAATTCTTTTCGCAATTAGCAGTTTAAAGAGGAAAACTCCCAATACATGAGAAACCAAAAGCCATTTACTTAAAATGGCTGTGAAGCATAAGAATATAAAAATGGAAGTGAGGTCAAACACCCAGGACTATGTGGTTCTCACTGTTCTCTGACTACTGGGATGCAGCTGCCGGGACCAGTCAGTGAAGGGCTGCACTGCAGTCCCAGCTTCCCAGGCAGACTATCACTACGGTGCTCCCTATCTTCAGTGAGATTCTAGAACATGGAGACGGTCTTCCAGCAGCCACATCTCTGATAGAAAACAATGTGTGTCCATTTCTGAAGTGGACAGCAGAACTGGGGTAAGACAACCACAAACTGCTTGGAGATGATTGTTGGTGTCATGGTGCCTCTTTGCTCCTACTTAAGGTGACAAGTGGCAAGAAAATTGCCTATAGGTTCCCCCCAGTAAATGCTAAAGTCTTCTCTCTCTAGAGGCTCAGCCACACACCTGCAGTTCAGGATCTCCTGGGTACAAAGATATACGTATCACAGCTGGACAGAGAGATGGCTACAGCCCATTCCTTACTCATCTGTTAGTTCCATTATTTAATGATGCTGTGGTTGCATGGTTTGAGGTCTGGAAAATAGGTGCTAAGTTTTCAAGTGGAAAAAAATAGTGGCCTGTAGTGGAGGCCTAAGGAAGAATAGAAGATACTAAGGAAGAGGATAAAGCTCAAATTTAAACAGAGATCTAAAGGCAAAGAATTATGGAAAGTTTTTCCTATGAAGTTGCCCTAGGCAAAGTGGGATTTATCCCACTTGTCATGGAGGTTGGTAATCTTCAGTTTATGAATACTGAAAGAAAGAATGCTGCACTATTACTCTTTCATTTCAAGAAAAATCAGGATTACAGCAGTTATAATTTCTGTTCCTTTTCAAATACAATAGCTAACACATAAAAAATAGTTGCCATAATTCCTCTAATTTTATCCCTTAATCGAATGCTGCAGAAACTTGATTTGTCTAACAGCACTTACAAGACAGTAAGTTTGCAGGCATTATGGAAATACACTTAAAGCAGAGTGCCCTTACAGAAGGCAATATGAAGCAGAGTGCCCCAATATAGAAAGCAATGAGCTCAAATGTAGAAATCTCTCTCACAGTCACATAATGGCAGGTAATTATCACCATCGTTATTGGAACAGAGGTATGGCCCAGTAGGGGATGTTTAATCTCCAGAAAAACTGCATTTATGTTAGGATAAAGTATTTCCATTTTTGCTGGGCTGGCACTGTATAAATAATAATGACAATAGGGGTGATCTAATTTTTGGCTCCCCCAAGGCTGCATTTGGTCCACAGATGGATTTTTGAGAATACTTGTGTTATAGGAAAATAGTTACTTACTGATAATTTGATTTCTTCTGCATTGTAAGCAGGGCTCAGTAAGCTTCCTGTTCTGCCCTTTTCAGGAAACAGCCCACCAAAGCCCAAAGGATTCCCCGTCGGTGGTGATGGAGATTTATAAACTATTTGCTTTTCATGACCTCTGTGAAGTGTATGAGAAGATAAAGTGCTATCACTTTTTGAACCAGTGATATTGCCTTGGCCATACAAAGCAGGACTACAGTTTCTGTGGTATCCACTGGCTGTGAACATAGCAGTCTGTTGATGTTCCATTTCCCATGCATCCTTCTTTTCCAAAGTTCTAAAAGAAGAAAAAAAAAATCAAAGTATGAAAACTAGTTAAAACTCTAAGCTATCACAGCAAAGCCAAGGGTTTTTTTTTATTTTATTTGTTTGTGCAATTTTGATTACTTAGCTGTTCAAACTGCTTCATGCATGAAGTTATGGGCATAAGATTAAGCATTACCAAGTTGCAGCAATTTAGCAACTTTCCACCTGAGTTACTCTAAACATGTGAGTATGCATTCTCTGTCTGCTTCAGCTGTGACTTAAATCACACTAATGTAAACCCCTTCACTGGAGCTTAAGTTGAGTAACGTTGCCATATAATTGTGGCAGGACAAGAGCTAAAACACAAATTTGCTTCAGGTATTGAAGATACCAATACTCCTTAAGTGTTTGTTACCCTTCCTTTGCCAAAGGTTATCACCCCTTTAGCTTTTCAGTGGAAGAAGCTATGTAAGCACTCTTCAGCCATGTCTTTATAACTTACACTATGATAGGGCCTGGAGTGAATTTAGCCATACAAATAGAGGGAATGAAATACGAAAGCATAAAGTGAGATGGCAGGCCAAAACTGTTATTAGTGGTTGGATAATTAGTCAATTTTGACCTAATATCACCTTAAACAACTGTGTTCAAATAGATAGAATTTAGAATAAATGTTTAAATAAGTTAAATGAAAAAGTAGTACAGGAAATCTTTGATCCTGTACTTTTACTGCAATACTAATTTTGCCACTGATTTAATGATAACATGTTGGAGATTAAGATAAGAAATAAAGAAATTTTTAAAATACACTTTTAAAAAAATTGTACAAGAACATGCTTCTGTAACAGTAAGTGAAATCTTCAAGCTTACAAAAGAATTTTAAAGTATTTTATTATGATGTTCCATAACTCTTGTATCACACTTAGAGTGATCAGAATGGATGTGAAAGCATATCTTTGTATTCATTTGTAGTTCTGTAAAGCAAAACCTATTATGGTTAACAGCAACTTGAAAAAAAAGAAACCTATTTTCCTCCCAATCAAAATATCTTCTTTTCCTGACAGTTAACTGAACAATTCTGAAACCATATTGATAAGAACACAGAATTTTGAGACTAGCTTGCTCAGATGTCTGCTGAATTAGACTAATTTTCAATTGCATCTTTACTTGTATTATATACCAAAACATGCAAAAAAATTTAAATTATTTCAGATTTTTTTACATTTATGTTACAATATTTCTGACTGAGGTAAAAATTTCTATTGCACTGAGGTCTGTGCTTATGATAAAATTGAAATTTTAGTCTTGAGAGGTAACTACTATACTCAAACATGATATCTGTTTGAAAAGATCCTATCATTGCAAATGTCCTAAAACACTTTACTAATTTGAAATGCAGCTGTAAAAGCTTTTAAAGATCAAGTTCTCTGCCACTAAAATATAATTATTATAAATATTCAGGAGTATGCAGTGCTGCTCAGATCCAAGGAAAACAGCTTTTTTTTTTTTTTTAAATAAAAAAGAATAATTTGCCAAGCACAGGGAAAGGACAGTGTTTTCTGCAGAAAGATCACACCATCATTTTCTAATCTTAATTTAAATATTTGCTGTTGGGAGAGGGTGGCTCTGCAGTCTTAATGGACCCTGCTTGTACATGAAACTGAGTACTCCATAAATGGACTGTGCAGAACAACTCAGAGAACTAATGAAGAACATATTTTTCTCTGCTTATGAAAGAAGTAGTCAGTAAGATACTCTGAATGCTACAGGAAAGCAAATTGTAGGCATGATGCTATAATATTATTATTACTTTAATATTATTATTACTTTAATATTATTATTATACATTCTAAAAAACCCTCTCTGAGAATATTCACCAAACCTTCCAGTTTTCTAAATCACCTAAAATGTTTACCTTTATGGGGGCAGAATTTTCTCCTTTCTTTCATGCTTTTCTTTAAATAAATACACTCTGCTCTTTGGGCACAGGAGAATATCTTTTTTCTTTTTTTTCCTCTATTTTAAAGTCCATTCCATCTATTGTTTGGATGAAGGGCACAGTGAAAAAAACTGCCACAACTGAAGATAGATGGCATGAATAATAAAATGACAGATTTTTTTTTCCATCTTGTGTTCTGACCTTTTTGGAAGTAATTTCCTCTGTAAACCCACAGTAAAGTCTATGTGATCTGTGTTCTTTTTTTCCCCCAGAACTGCTTCTCTATGTATTTAATAACATTTATTACTGTTATGTTATAGCTTACTTCACTAAGACCAGAATTTTCAGACTTGAGTGCCTACAGTTATGGTAGCTCTTAGATAGTAAAAACAGATACCCCCCAAAAAAGGACTGATTTTTTAAAGGAACTCCACTTCCTACTGTAATCCATAGGATTGCAGGGGCTGTTTGCTATCTTGGAAAGACATGATGCCTGCATTTAAGAGCTTTGATATGGATACTATGCCTTCACTTCAGACAGATTTCAGAGTTGGGGTTTAAATTTCTGCCAGTTCAGTTCAAAATAATATCTAAGAACAGAGTTCTACTTTGAATACAAATGTAAAGGTAGGCAAATATCTGCAAATTTGTAAAAAACTGTCCATTTGTTAACATTGGCAATGCAAATACACTATAACTGCAGTTGAGTAACTTACGCTTTCAGTGGGTTTACTGTCATAGAGTGTTTAACATATACACATACTTCACAAGAATAATATCACTGTTGACATGGCAACATATGGGACAAGAAGTGAAACAACAATGTCCTTGCAAAGGGAATTTATATAAACAGGATCGATTTTTCCAGACTCATATATAAAATCAGCCTGGTCCCTATGCAATCAATGACTTCAGTGCTGCAAAACAAATTCCTTACACAGCTTGTGCTGGTTGATGTACCTAGTCTTAAGAAAGAAAACAACAGGTCTTTAATGACCAGAATGTCTTCAGAATTCATCTTGTTTCTTTTACCTTGCAAGTATAACTGCTAACTTGATTTTAAAAATGGATAAAAAGTATTTTCCTGAAGAGATTGTTTTCACTGCTTCCAGTTTATCTATTGCAATAACTGATACAGTGGTGAGTATGACTAAGAGTGTGTGACCTCCAAAGGGTAGTGAAAACCTCCTTAAGATCTGCCAACACAGATCCTTTAAGAGGTCCCCAGCTACCTTAGTAGGCATTCAGTCCTAGCCTTTACCTCTCACTTTTGCCACATGATGAAAGTGGACTTTGGCTTGATCAGTTACCTATTTTGTGTATATTTTTATGGTAAATAAGTAGCCTTTCATTTGGGAACTCACATGCATGTTTTAATTTTGGAAGAAACAGGGTAAACACATCAGCTTCATCAGAGAAAGCCCTCTTCAACCATGCCAAAATTTAAATCAACTATATTTGGCCAAGGTCTAAATAAAGGATTGAAATCTTGAAGGTGGGGAAAGCTTATGTAAATGGCAATTAGAAGTAAGTCAATTACCATATATAAGAACAGTAATTAAAGTGGCTATAGGTAGGATGTGGCCACAGTCTTTTTTTAGCAAAAAGATGCCACTCCTGCATATCTTAATTTGTAATATTTAGAAATTCAGTGTATACTGCAAGAAAGAAGAAATCATGCCTCTTTCTAAATCGCCAATATAACTTCCTGCAATTTCCTCTATTTTCTCTAGAGGTCTCCTATCTAACTAATGACTGTGCCCATGCCTAGGATTCTAGTACTTACCATGAGACATGCCTGAAAAATATTATAGAATATACTTAGTTGAAGAATTTTTTTTCATCGTGCAAACCTTTCTAGGTTTCTGAATGCAAATAGGAAAAACAAAATGTACAGCTTCTGAAAATTACTATTTTAAACACAAACACCATCCCCCTTGCACAAACACCATTTTTCTATTTTTCTACTATGTAAAAAAAGTCTTTTTGCCCTTTCCCAGTGCCATAATTACCATGGAAACAGAACTGCAAATTAAAACAGAAATAACATGGTTTATGCTCACAATAAAATAAAACATACCCCAGAGTTTAACTCAACCAACATCAATTGCCTGGTTTATGTGCATACATTTGATGGTTGAAAATTTAATTTTAGTTTTTGAGAAAATCTTGAGGTAGTTCCCTGTTTGGGAACAGAGAACTGACAGTATAGAGAGGGCCCAATCTTAAAAAGATGACTGATGTGTATACACAGTACACGTGGAATTTGCAGATTTTTTTGAAATCTGTGTATGTATTTATTTAGCTAAATAGCTTTTCATTTACGAAATCAAATGCATGTTTTAGATCCTGAAAACCAGGCTCAATATATGTTTCATCAGCTTAATTAGAATCATAATTTAAATTATATTCAGTAGTGTGGTTGAGATTTCTGTTGTGAGAAAGGTTAGCTATCCCAGGTTTCTCTCTCCCAGTGTTGGTTTAACATTGGGCTTCAATGGCTATGAAATCAAAATCCTGCAAATTACCTGCATAGTTCTATTGTCTCATACACTTACATTCTCATGAATGAAATTTCACAGTTCCTCATGTATAGCAAGTGTAATTCCTGAGAAAATGGGAAAAAACCTTACTTTTTCTCACTTGAGAAGAGTGGAAGCATGAGCAAAAATTGTGCTGACCAATATTTGGTGAAATTATGAGACCTACAGGTGCAGAATAGTCTGTATCTTGGTTTGTAAATATCTGTTTCAGCAAAACCTTCAACATCATTTGAAACTTAGTAGGAAAACAGCCATACCTGCCACTTCCATATATATATATCTATATATCTATGTGTATGTGTGTATTATGTATATGCATATACATATGTACATACATACATATTATATATATATATACTTGCATACACATGAATACTACCTCTAACACTAAACATATTTAAAAGGAAATTTTAGGCAAGAATGTAGCTACATACAATGGGATGCCTTTCTATTTTGCAGAAAGAAAATCACTTTAAATTTTGCCAAAGACTGAATGTATGAGTTTGAATTCTTGACCTGTACAACTTTGGCTCCAATTACTTAAACTTTGCTTCACAGAACTGTTTCACATTAGTGCTATCATTTCAGTTCTTTATTATAGATGATCAAAATATTTAGCTTCCTATTAATTTTTACTCTCCTGTACTGTGAAATAGTGTTTAGCAGGGAGTTTAATTTTCTTTTTATTACCACAACGCCATGATTGTAACATGTTTGAAGGTAATTCAGTGTTTCACTGAATACAGGGAAATAAGAAGGAAGTCATCACTACAATGTTTTCTATGAGTCTGAGTATTCTTAAGTCTCATTATTTTTCCCTAACAAGGAGTTTATTGTAGTAATGATTTATTCAAGGCATCTGAAATTATGTTTCTTTTAAAAATCAGGTCACCCAAGAACACCAAAACTAGACAAGGCATTAAAATACATTTAATGAAACTTCCAACAAATGAAACTGGTGGGACACAAAGCTTTTCAGCAGGGGTTGTAGTTCAAACTGCTTATTAAGATAACCTCCTGTGGAGCAGTTTACCTCTCATGTTGGTTTTTATATCCTTTCCTTGTTTTGTTTTTATTTGGCAGTAAAAATACATTCTGTCCTGTTTTGCAAAGCCTGGAACTACGAATAACTTTAGCAGCACATTAAAAGTTTTTTAAGTTGTTTCATGTAACAAATGTTAAAATAATGATCAAACATTTCTGGGACTCCATTTATTGCCAAATTCAGTTAGCCACCCAAAAAAATGTAGGAAATTCTTAAAAATATACTAACTAGGTCTGATATTTATGTTGGTGGGAGTTCTGAATGAACAGAACCAGAAACAAAATTTAACAGTTTGGCCCAGTTAGATGCTTCCAAAAAACTTACAGGAAGTTTCATGTATGTGTACAATCTAAATATTACCTCTCTTCTTTTTCTTGCATCTTTGAATGGGTTTGGCAGCTGTGCTCTGTTTCTCCATATGTATCCATGTGACCCAGTACTGATGTTTCTGTGTCATTTTGTAGTTTAACCAGACTATTTTGTAATCTTACATTATCATGTTCCAGTTTGTGAATGGAAGCTGTAAAATTTCCATGTTCTTTGTTAGATAAATCTATACTCTGTGAAAGGAGATAAAACCATCATTAAATAGTTATTTTTTCCACAATAAATGGATGTTAGTATTTCTAACAAGCAAACACAAAACAATGTTCTATGCTAAAGAAAGACCTAGCTACCATATATAATCATGCAGCACTTATAGCAAACCAAGAGAATTGCCTCCAGAAAAAAAGTTGTAGATAAATGGAAAAGAAGGGATAACAGCCTCTATAACGCAATAAAACAAATTAAAATTTCTCAACAAACATGCATTCAAAATATTATTGTTGTAAATTCATCGCTTGCTTTGTAAAACTTAGGACATAAAAGCAACCATAACAGCTATAGCTGCAGACTGTATTGCTCCCTCCAGTAACAATTCCACCAAAAAACCCAAGAAAAATTACAGAAGTTCATTACTATAGTACATACAGGGTATGTCTACAGGCACAATTTAATATCTGTGTCAAGATACAGTCACCTTCAGTTTCAGAAGCGGTAAAGTAAAGCCACATTAGCACAGAGTTGTGCGTCTGTGTTACTAAACTCTGCTTCTCAGGTGGGTTAGCCCACATGGTATACACATCAAAATACTGAAAGTGCAAGCAACATGTGCACTGCGACCAGGGTCTAGAGAGGCCCATCCACTAGGATATGAAGAGGGGAAGATGGAGATTAGCTCTGGAAGTTGACTAGCCAGGATACCCCATTCCTTTTATGTCCTATCACTTATTCCATAAAGCCTATGCTGCACACCTGAGCTAGCTAATTTGGAACGACCTCTGCAGAATACTGCATTGCATTGTGTAAAGATATTTGCAATGACAGTGTACTGTCATCAACAGAAAATTCTCAAAAGATTTATCATATTACACACAAAAGACTAAACCCTCATACATTTTATTAAGTTCTGCTTTCATATATTTCTAGATATACCTTATTCTTTTGGAACCTAGTAACTCATGAGTATTAAGGATTTGGTTCTTAGTCTACTGCTAGCACAACTGGGCTGCTGCACCTGAAAGCTTGTCTATTCCTTGCACTAACTGTTCTGATGTCATCTCTTCCTATAAACCTTGCCTTGCTTAGCTAGTTTTAGGGGAAATTTATGAGCCAAGCTGGCATGGAAGTGCCAGAAAGTATAAGAAAATTTAATATTTTGTGCAAGGATAGGGGGCAGGGGCTCAGCTATGTCTCCCAAGTGGAGAGGAGTGACAGAACAGGGGGAGAAGGAGAGTCCTAAGTCACCCTACCACTAATAGCTCTAGAATCAGCAGTACAGTTATAATGGCATGAACCCCAAAACTAAGCTGGCACAGCTACGTTGCTTTTGAAATCTAAACAAGTAACCCTTCCTGATGATGCATTACACCATGCTGACTTAGGCTGGCACTAGTTTGAGGGGTCTGTGTAGTGGTCTACTGTACTGTACAAACACATCCGTAAAAATCTCTCCAGTCCCTGCAATCTTAATATCAAATACCTCACAATCTTTAATGTTTAGATCCTCATAATACACTAGTAAAGTAGGAAAGAATTATTAAGTCCGCAAACACAATGATATCTGTAGTGACCTTGATATATCTAGTAATTGGATTTTACTGTTAAGAATTAACAAACACATGATATCTACAAGGATTCTTGTTAGACAGCTCTTCTCAGTCTTCATAAAGAATATCACTGTAGATAAGAGCTAGACACGCATACACACATCCATATATGTTTCCACATTAATATATCATATATACACATACATATATCCATCATAGTGTATATGTACATATAGGTAATACATCACTGATAAGACATATATGCTATTTTAAGGGTGTGGAAAAATGTGACATTCTTTGATGCATTTGTCAGTCTACAGTAAGACAATTAACAGGCTACATATTCCCCAAAGATATATTTACAGCAGTATTTACAAGCAACATTCCAGCGTTTTTTTTCTAGTGATAGATACAATAACTACAGATGTTCTGTAAGCAGGGGACGTTTTTGTGGAAGGCAGCATCTATAACATTTATGATACCTTTATAAACTATAGTTCTACGTGATATTATGGCACACTTTTTTATGAATTAAACTTTAAATATCCCCTGTTTGGAGAGAAAGCAATACTAAACTCTGAAAATAACCTGAGGGGGGCAAAATGTCTCAGTTTTTTACACTGTTATTTAAATATCATATAAACAAAGGAGTAAAATAGTAGAAAAGGAACATAGTTTTGCATCTGTGAGAATGATGACTGTTTAAAAATAAAAAAAATTCTGAAATAAGTGACAACACTTACAAAAAATAGGCTCCCAGAAACTGTTTAGTGTCTAGACAGTTACTGAAAAATTTAGCTTACTTCTAGTTTACTACAATTAAGGTCAAAATTATTCCTAGCTATACCCATCTTCAGGCTGTGTGTGAATATCACTTGGTTTTGATTATGTCACACACCTTATTTTTATTTATTTATTTTACGCAAGCCAGAAATCTCTAAATCTGCCATGATCTCAATCTACATTTACAATAAATATAAGTAACTATTCTGCATATTGCATAGATTAAAAAAAATTACCGTGCAACTTTTACACTCCTGGTTTTCCACCATCTCTTTTAGATGCATGTTTTCAGATTTGATAACTTTGTATCGGAAATCCAACAACTAGGAAAAGATTCAATTCTTAGTTAAATACAAGAATATTACTGTTAACTTGAAATAACAATGAGTATAGATATATGTTAGTTTAATTTTACAAAATATACATAAAGAATTATGAAACTAACTATAATAATTTTTTTAAAATACAGCAATACTAAAGCAGAAAGACATCTTAAACCATCTATAAAAGATACACAAATGCAATGCCTCTGATTTTATTTACCTTTGTTGAAAGAAGTAATCACTTAGGAAAAAAAAGGAGTTCACATGCAGTTGCAAGATACAAAGAGGGACAGATTTTTGCAGGCCACTGAAACGGGATGAAATCGTAGCCATGAAGCCTAGGAACGACATCCACTCTTTTAGTGATACAGTAGGGAATATGGCCTGATAAAGAGTGCCACACAGTAGGAGATATCTCTCATTTTCCCAAACACAAATTTTCCTATTGTCAGAAGTAAAGTATTACATTAATCACTCTTTTCAATATGCAGTGACCCTCTCAGAAAGTCCAGAGATACGCAGAAACCTCTAAATATGAAGGTTCTTTTGGTTTACAAAACTAAGTAATGAATATAACATGTCTGTTTTTAAAACTGAAATTTGCCATTAAAACACTGGTATCTTACAGTTTTCAGCTTTAAAATTACCAGAATTTTCTAAGCAGATTTCTATCACTCCTCAAAAAGCTTTAAAAAACCTGAAAAATTAGGAAACTTTCTAGATAATCTAATAAATGGTTCTAATGATAAAGCACATATAATAACAACAAACTGGAAGTTTTCAAGATCTTTTGCATGTTAAAATGGTAAATGCATTTGATGGTCAGAATGAATTGCAATTCAGATGTACAGTTGACATTTACTGGTGCTTTCCGTTTCCAGTATCATTTTGGCTGCTTTAGTAATACTTCACAGATATTACAGCACTGCTGATGAAAACTAGAGCAAGAAATGTAATGCCTTTTTTCACTGAAAATGTATGTCATTATCAACAGCGTGGAGTAAAATGATCTAGGCTGGTTTTGCCTGCTTGCATACCTGTTGTTTTGCTAACAATTTGTCTTTTATCTCTAACTCCATTTTTAACTGTCTTTCCAGAAGACTAGCTTTCTCCATGATAGTTGCTATAGTGATCTCCTTCTGATGAAGCTCTTCTGTCAGGTCAGAGATTTCTGTCTTCATTCTTTCCTGCTCAGAGCAATGGGACTGCTCCTCTCGATAAACATGGTTTCTTATCTGTAGCAAATATGTTTCAAAAAGAAAAAATGTTGTGCAGTAAATATGATTGCATCACTTGCTACCTATCAGTGGCTTTTTTGCTGTTGCTTCCAAGACACCAACTCTTCTAACTGAATCAGAGATTTTTGAGATCATATAATAAAATGTCTTAATGAATCAGTGCACATAACTTTATTTATTTTTACATCTTTTTTCAACCCTTCTCTTGTACTTTCATTTGCTTATTTAGTATTAGAAATGAATGAAATACAAGGCATTGAAATTAACATTTAAAAAGAATGTAATAAAAATAATGTTAATTTTAAGAATTGGAATTTATGGCAAAGAATATTGAAGGAAATACCCATTCAATAATCCTAAGTATGATTTATTTATATTGCTCCTAAGTTAATTTAGGTTTAAAATAAGTTTAATGCAGCCTAAATTAACTTAGGAGCAATATAAATAAATCAGTCTAGAGGCTCTTTAATGAGAAACTATGTTAGAAATAAAGAGTATATATGGTAAATCACTTTATGAGAATTATTCCTGCCATTATATATAAAATTTAAGGTCAAGCTTTCTGCGCTATCTCCTGTGCAGAGTTCTCCAAAGGATCAACACAAAGATTGTTTTCATAATCTTTTTACTATAACCAACAATTTAGTACTGATAGTTTTATTATGTAAGAAACAAAACTACAAAACCCAGCACAACAGTTGAACTGATTTTAATAATTCCTTGCAGCACTGTACACAATCAGTAACAGATGGCATTTCATTTTTATTTATGCAAACTACACAGAAATACTAGAATTGTAAACAAATAGATGTAGATGCAGAAAACCTAAGAGCTAGATCATGACTATCATGCCAAAATTGCTGTGTCCAAGTCAGCTGCATCCAATTAGAGATATTCCTGCTTACATTGCTACTCAGCAAAACCACAACATGCCTGTAAGAGGAGTTCTGAGCATCCTCTACTCCCAAAGTGGTTTTGTCTGCCAAGCCGTATGCCATTCCATGGTGCCATGCCACTACTGCTTGCACACAGCGCTTCTGAAATGTGCAATGCAATGGGATGCATAGTTCAAACAAAAGAGCACTGCCCTAGACTGTGCAGCAGGTGACTGATTAAGCTTAGCCTTGTGTGGGTACATGCCATAGTGACCTGTATCAGTTGATCTGTTAGCCTGTCTTACATCTGAGACCGCCTACAAACTACTGCTTACCTCCTATAGCCTATTAATTACTCATAGCCTTGGAGGGTTTATTACTTGCATGGTATTATCTGAATCCCCGTGATGCTTAGGCATGGTCTCTTCCATTATTTCAATGAAGTAGCTAGCTCTGTTGTTAGTGCACAGAATTACAGCTATGCAACTACCTCCAGAAATGCAACCACATATGAAAACTTTTTCATATATGAAAACTTCATACTCTCCTAAAGCCAGTTTATCCTCCTGCTCTCTTCTGCATATGAACATACCCAAGGTCAGTACTCTGCTTGCTTTTTAAAATCCCATATTGCAGTTAAGATCTGGAAATACTTAACAATATGAAATACCGTGTTTAGCTCTTCTCGCTGGTGTTCTTGACTTTGTGCCAATAGTAATAACTCAGCGTTTTTATTTTCTAGTTGCTCAGTAAGTTGTACACAAGGTGATTGATGCCTTTAAATAAGAAATAAACAAAACATGAAACAAGCAGACCATTCAATAACCTTTAACTTACAGTATCCTCTCCTCAGCATAAAACAGTGAAAGCCCTGCTCACTGATGAAAAAAAAAACAACCAACCAAAAGATTTGGCCTAAACCAGGTTCAATCTTGGAAGATCAAGGACAATGCAAGTGCGTGCAGAAAGAATCCTGAAATGTCTTGTAGATTAGTATTTCGTATAATCTCAAACAGCTATGGTAGATTAGATATACACTATAAAAAGATGAACATTTTACTTAAAGGAGGTTAGGGAGAATCTTAATCGCACTACTTCCAAAGTATTTTAATGCTGAGAAAAGAAAGGCAATGTAAACATATAAATAGAAATAAATGAAATGCATTGATTTGTAAAGATCTAGGAAGCATTAAAGCCTTTTAACAGAGCCTGCATCTTGCCTGCAATCTCATCGTATATAATTGCTAATGAAAATGTTTATTCAAAAATTGTTTAGAATCTGACATTTGAATCCAGAGTATCTTTTAAAATAGACTTAATTTAAATCAAATGTAAGAAAAGTTATTAGTGCAGAAGTATTTGTTAAATATTGTCTTCAACATACATACTTTATTTGAATTTCCTGCATATCTTTATACTCTCTGATTTTCAATAATTCTGTATGCAACTGTTGGCATTCCAGTTGCATTCTTCTCCAGATAGCATCCCGTGACTGCAGCTCATTTCTCATTTCTGAAAAGCCTGCCTCCATGTTCTAAAGAAACAAGCAAATACATAAATAGTTAATAAAATGAGACAGTAGTAGCACAAAATGCTGTATATTAACACATAATTTTCAATACCAATTTGTATGAAAGGACGTACATACTTTTGAGTTTCATTTCTGAAAAAGGCATTGCTTTCATGTCAGTTCCTTTCTCCAGAAATGTCATCTAAAAAATCAGATGCTGAATATTCTTCAGCTCTTACAACATTCCAATGCATCTGTCTCTGAAACTATCAGAGGAAACATCATTCAGAAGTTCTTTATTGCATTAAATGCATCTCAAATACATAGTCTGCTTGTTTGAGCAGGTTCTGCACCCTAGAACATGCTTCACATGCAGGAATTAGTGCCATAAGTAACTTGCATTTTCTGTTTTCCTAATAGCATTTCCAAATCTATAAGCTTGAAAAGTGCAAGGCTATAGAATGGCAGGATTAGGTGCATGCCTTCATTAAATATTGCCTGGAAGCCTGGAGCAGATACACCTAGACTTAAGTACTTAGATAAGGTGTGTGCTCAATCACCTCCAAAACTAGTTCTATGTGCATGGAGCTAATTGCTTATTTAAATGAACATCACAAAATTTTAAACAATCACAAAGACATTCTTCTTAGGGACTCCACAAATCTTGTCTCTATTTTACCTTTAATTTCTGATTGATAATGTGATAGACAACCTGAAGATACATGTTATATTTGGCATAATACAATCTGAATTAAAAAAGATAATCAGAATTCCCCCAAGATACACTGAAAACATACTAAAGCTAAGAACTTGGAAATATAACCACAAATAAAAAAAGTAGCAATAATAATCAGATTCTCACAACAGTAATATCCAGAGAATATTTATTTCCTCTCACCCAAGATCCAAAGTTATGTTCCAGATAAAAAAAAGGATTTTCCAAGGATGTTGATCCTTTGCCTTTAAAACTATTACACTAAAAACACTAGTATTTTTCATCATTTCTTCATTTTATTTTAATATAGTTTCCATGTTTAAAAGCAAAAATAAAGCCTTTAAACTTTCAAAAGACAACTGGAATCCAGAAATGACACCACAAGCAAGGAACTTCAAAGGTTTATTTCCCTTAGAGCCTCATATGAGAATGACCTTCCTTCCAAGAAACCTGTGGTTTTCCTCTGGCTGAAAGGGCTGCTGAAGATAGATATGAAGCGCTTTTGCTTTTTTTATAGGGGCTGCATATATAGATTCATTCGTCTTATCCTTTGTTAAATTAAGGTTGAGAGCGCTTTTTTAAACTCTGAAATGCAAGTCTGGGCATATTAAAGTGAAATAAAGCTTAATGAACTGTTAAAATTGTCTGCAAGACTTGCTTATGAACATCTTCATGACTTTAACATTCAAGAAATAGCCACAATTATTTTATAATATATGAATTTGGGGGAGGGTTACCCCTTAGATGTCAGTCTGGGGTGGATAAAGGGAATGAATGCTGCACAGTTGTGTGGTAGAAGTCATATCATCTGTGGCAGAACGCAGTCATCATACATATTTACATAAATTGTATTTTCTTCTGTGAATTATAATAATAGCAGAGACAACAGCAGCCACAGCAGCAGCAGCAATAATAACTGAAACAGAACTTCAGGTCAAGAGTTTCAAACATCATTTAAAAAAAAAAAAAAATTAGATATGTACCACTTATTATTTTAGGAAATATCTATTGCATCTAGTTAAAACACGAAAATGAAAATTAATATTGAACCAGAAAACTTTAGGTTTTGTTTAGAAAATATCTACTGAAATACAACTTTTTTAAGAGTCTGTTTCAAGTTGAAAAATTTACCAAATACTCTCTTTTCTTCTGTGAAAAGTTTTGCTTCAACTAGCTTGCTGTGTTTGATATCAAAGGGAATTCTCAAAAATTTCCTGATCAGCTCCTTTTCTAATTCTACTCAAAGCTGTTTGTGGCAGGATGACCCTGGCTGGATGCCAGGTGCCCACCAAAACTGCTCAATCACTCCTCTCCTCAGCTGGACAGGGGAGAGAGAAAATATAATGAAAGGCTCACGGGCTGAGATAAGGACAGGGAGAGATCACTCACCAATTACCATCATGGGCAAAACAGACTCGACTCTGGGAAATTAATTTCATTTATTACCGATCAAATCAGAGTAGGATAATGAGAAATAAAAACTAAATCTTAAAACAACTTCCCCTCACCCCTCCCTTCTTCCCGGGCTCAACTTCACTCCCAGTTTTCTCTACCTCTTCCCCCCCGAGTGGCACAGGGGGATGGGGCACGGGGTTTGCGGTCAGTTCATCAGACGTATTCTGTGCTGCTCCTTCCTCCTCACACTCTTCATCTGCTCCAGCATAGGGTCCCACCCATGGGAGACAGTCCTTCATGAACTGCTCCAGTGTGGGACCCTCCCACAGGGTGCAGTCCTTCAGGCACAGACTGCTCCAGCGTGGGTCCCTTCCCCGGGCTGCAGTCCTTCAGGCACAGACTGCTCCAGCGTGGGTCCCCCATGGGGTCACAAGTCCTGCCAGAAAACCTGCTCCAGTGTGGGCTCCTCTCTCCACGGGGCCCCAGGTCCTGCCAGGAGCCTGCTCCAGCGCAGGCTTCCTACGCGGTCACAGCCTCCTTTGGGCATCCCCCTGCTCCGGCGTGGGGTCCTCCCCGGGCTGCAGGTGGAGATCTGCTCCCCCGTGGACCTCCCTGGGCTGCAGGGGGACAGCCTCCCTCACCATGGTCTTCCCCACAGGCTGCTGGGGAATCTCTGCTCCGGCGCCTGGAGCATCTCCTCCCCTCCTTCTTCACTGACCTGGGGGGCTGCAGGGCTGGTGCTCTCACATCTTCTCACTCCTCTCTCCTAGCTGCTGTTGCGCAGGTTTTTTCTTCCTTTCTTAACTCTGTTCTCCCAGAGGCACTACCACCATCGCTGATGGGCTCAGCCTTGGCCAGTGGCAGGTCTGTCTTGGAGCCGGCTGGCATTGGCTCTGTTGGACATGGGGGAAGCTTCCAGCAGCTTCTTACAGAAGCCTCCCCTGTAAACCCCCCCCACTGCTACCAAAACTTTGCCATGCAAACCCAATACACTGTTCAACCTTTTAAATACAATTATATGCTGGATTTCTATGCAAATTAGTGTCCAGCAGCTGCCTTAATGCAGACTTTCCAAGAACCAAGCCTTCTGTATGATGTTTTCAGAGTGCCTCTCATGTATGGCTGCAATTAAGTTTGTCAGACAATTCATAAGTTAAAGAAATAAACTGTAGTTTGGATCTTCTAAAGTTCGTATTTTCTGTACAGCCAACAAACTGGTCATCCGTACATTTCACTTGATCACTGTTTCCTTGCTAATTAATAGTATGAAAGAAATATTTAGAAGCAGACATGAAATGGTCATAGGCATAGAAGATATATGAGGCACAATGCTAGGCTTGCTACCATTGCCATCAGCCTTTTCCCCACCAAGACTCCCGTCTAATCCTCCCTCCTTTACCCACATCAGGTCCAACTATTCCCATCCTCCACCTAGCACTCCTTCATGCAAACCTGCTTACTTCTTCTGGCTTACAACAGGCCTTGCACTTCCTTCTTTCTCGTATAGACATTCCTAAAAAACTATATTCTCCAAGCGACACATTTTCACCAATACATTGTCTTTACATCAGTGTTTCCCTTCTGCAGCTATTTGCAAATGTGGCTTTTCTAACTAACACAGCAATATTCCACACCACCAGCACAGTTATTCTGCAACTTTCTGCCCTTTAGCTGACAATGTTATGTACATCTAGCTCCACTTCTACTTAAAATGCCTTCAGCACTTCCTGTATACAGCTCCTGTATTCTGTTTGCAGGATTCCAGAAATCCTCTTGCTTGAAGATTTACTTAATGGCTACAGCACAATGACATCTACTCTCACTGTCGTACAGCATCTATCCACCTGTTGCAATTGCCATGATTTGTTCCACTCCATCTTCTAGCCCCACTACTTTTGATGGCAGCCTTTTTAACAGGCTCCAAAACAGAGGTTTTTTTCTTGCATATCAGTAACTTGTAAACCAGCAAACGACTCTGAACTAATGTGCAAATGAAATGTATAAACATCACGTGCTAAACTGGGCTGTTCTGACAACACCTGAAATTAACCTCCACCCCATATATGTTAATTCCTGTAAAGGATGTTGCACATGAAGTTACAACTCTGCAAGGTTGTCTATAAACAGAAATAGATTATCTTTCTCCAGAAAGAGTCAAAGTTACTATAGGCCACTAAATATATTACTGAACCTTGAAGTGCTTAAATAAATAAGCAAAAGCATAATTTATATAAGTTACCAGAAAAAACCCAGCAATCCAAATCTCATTCCTGATCTGTTTCAAACAGCTAACAAAAAAGGCTGTAAAGATCTTGTATTATCTCAATCTTGTCAGAAATCATATACCACGACCAAAAGAAGAGGCCCAAATGGCTGTTGTCATAGATCAGTGCTATGTTGAAAAACAGTAAAGTAGAGATAAGATAAAAACTGATGGTTCTTCACATGGCTGGCAACTAAAAATTCACTGACTGCAAAATCTTCTCTCAATAATAATAAAGTATGCCATACACTTTTCTATTTACTAGCTATATGGCACAGTGTACAACAAGGTGTAAATCAGATAAAAAGATTTCATAGAAGTCATTTATATACAAGGAATCAAGTGAACTAGGCTAAGTTCCTATAGATGTTAAGGATATAGGAAAGTTATGAAACAATAGATATACAGACAAGAATAAAATATACCACTACATAGCAAACATATTTTTGTTTTCTCCTTAAGTGTTACTCAAAAAATTGTACTGTTCACAGCTCATTCTGTGTTCCTGCAAAGAATATACCTAATGTACAGATATTTTATACAGCCATCTCAGTACAACTTTTTAAAGTATACTCCCAAGTAATTAATGCTTCAACATTAATTCCATAGTCATCATGAAAAAGAAAAACTATTACTACCTGGGCCTGGTTTTGGTACATTTTTAGATCCTCCCGGAGTTTCAGATTTTCCTCTTCTAGTTTATTCTTGTTTATTGCTATTTCATTCACAGTTGCCTTTAGCTTTCCAATAATCAACTCATTCTTTTCACTTTTCGGCTGGCCATAGGTAATTACCTCTTCCTGGTTTTGTTTCTTATTGCTTATTTGGAATTGATATTTCTGGATCTGTTTCTATAAAACAAGAAAATCTTTTAAATGAAATTCAGTAATTATATGTAAATTGCTAGGACCAAACCATTACTACTAAAATCATAAAGCTACTTCTATCTTCACCAGGATTTGCTTAGAAAAGATGGCACAATTGGAACAGTTTGCATTACTTCTCTAAAGGATACTTCCTTTTTTTAGTTTCTTGTTCCTTGCTCTCAGCAAAAAAATGTTTCAGAAACTTTCAAGGGCACAGAATTTTTTCAAGGATTTTTCTCCTCTGCTGTGTACTTCCCTAGCACTTAATGTTAATTAGCCTCAAATGTGAAAAAGGTGATTACGATGACCTACTCAAAGCAGTTACCTATAAAAAATAATTTGAGAGAAATGTTCTTCTTTGATTCATTGAACTCAGTAGGAGTTGTGTGTGTGTGTGCCTCAGGATAGATATTAACCTTTGACTAGAGGGCTAGCATTACATAGTTCATGTATAAACAGATCAGTTACTACAGGAACTGTACTTCTTTGATATCTTTATCCTTAAACTGGGGGAAGAACCATTCGCACATTCTGCAGAGTCCCACACTCCATTCTGTTTCTTGTACCAATTAAAATCCTAGAACCAAAACTTTAGAAAATTGGTATTGCTAGTATTTGTGAATTCACAGGCATCGTGAAGAAGCATAATTACTATGGCAACTCTTTTTGCTATTTAAAAACCCATCCACATGGATCCCTCTACTGGGAGATTAACAAGCAGCAGTAACCTTTCAGAAGAGAATTAGCTGAAAAATGACAACAAAGTATAACCTGGAAACCATATATCATGTGCAGAGATCAAGTTGAGCAAGAAAATGTACATTAAAAATAAATAGGGTCACAAATACCGTATTTCATTGACAAGGACTGCAAAAAGGCATGCTTTAGATAGCTTTTGATGTCATTGACTATGTTCCCATAATTTGTGTTGGCTGAATACCTAAGCAGAACTGACCACTGGCTGCATATCAAATAAAAAGCCAAAAGAAATTTGCAGGTAATTTTCATTTCTACAGATAACAAATTAAGGTCCCCTTGACATCTAAGTTACAGAGTCTGACATACAAAAATGTCAAAGCATCCTGTGAAAAGTACAGTGCAAGACTCCAGCTGGAAATCCTCACAAAAGAGGAATTTGAGACAAAGACACAGGACCAATTAATGCTTTTGAAACAGTGAAGGGGTAACAGTCCATCAGACTTCTATTTAACAAATTAGTCAGTGTTATGTTACAGTTGCAAAGAAAATTGGCTTCAAAGAAAGTTCACTGATGGCAGTGAAAGCCTCAACAGAACAATGTGGATGATCACCTCGAGTACTCTATTTTGACTTGTCTAACTATATAATCAACATGTGTCAGTCAGTAGTTTTGTCTAGTCAAAGCCTTGCTTGTTTCACACATTTGTATGGAAGTTCAATAGTTGCAAAATAATGCTTTCAGCATCTAAAAACAAAACTTAACTGTCATCCTTGGAAATTCTGGATATGGGTAGTCTCATAGGAATTGTTAAGAAAGTGTTTCACTAGATTAAAATCCAATGAGTTTAGTAACAGTGGAAAAGGAGATTACCAGTCAGTAATGTAATTGGCTTCCTCTTACTTAATTTTTGAGCTGTCTTGTGGCCCAGTTAATTTGTAAGTTATTTTCTATTTTTTTTTTAGAGCAGGATAGGTCATCAAGACATCATTAAATCAATATTTTGTTCTGGATTAGAAGGAATTAAAAAAATAAAAATATGCTAGATCAATCGGCTATATAAAAAAAGTAATAAGCAAATTGGCAAGTAAAAAAGAATCACAAAGTCAACCAACGACTGAATGGTAACTTGAAACCTGAAAAATATGATAAAAAAGGGTAAGTGATCCAACAAACAACTCCAAGTGTGATTTTGGAGTAGCATATAGAAATTAATTTTTCTGCATAAATTATAGTAATGTATATTTATGATCTTCAGAAAAGTGAGGGCCTTCTTAGATTTGAGGGAACTTTATATTTGAGTCAACATAGTAATGGCATGTACTACTTACTTGGTAAGATACTTTTCAGTAACTTGTCATCACAATTATTTGCATATTAGTAAATAGCATAGAAGATAAAAGTATATCCACAGTAGATTTAAAAAGTAAATAGGAACATGCACTGCTTTTTGCAGGTTTTTTAAATCGGAGATATTGTAATTTTCATCATTATACTTATTAATTTTCTCATTTTCATGAGAAAAATAAAATAAATGCATGTATCATTAGATCTTTCAGTATGGGTCTGCCTTACCTAAAGCAATGTATTCACTACTAATATATCCATGTGTTGTCAGATTCACTATAAGCTTAGTGGTGTTCAGTTTTTTTAAATTAAGTTAAAATAACTCTAGCTGAGCTAACAGCTCATTTTATTCCTAAAGCAGGAAGGTAGGAATATTACCTGAAATAGATTACATTTCTCGGACAATAATTTTTGTTGAGCATCTAAATAAACAAGATAATTTTGGCAGATTGTCCCCTTCTTATCCCATTCTCTTGATTTTGCCTGAAATTCCTGAAAGACAGCAAAACAAGGCTAGTAAACACAAGGAAAATAACTTTTTTCTTTAATCTAAATAACTTTGTGATTTGTATAGTTCTAAGAAAAATCTATTTTTTTAATTAATACATAAACTTTCCATAATTTTGGAAAGAAGAAAAAAAGAACAATGATATAAACAGCCATTCAATCATCCTCACCAGAAAAAACCCAGTCTTAAGGGCTGTTAATCTGAAAAAAAATGGGGAGTAAACATAATAATTGAATAAAAATGATAAAATATTGTAAATAACTTCCATTGCTGTAGATCTCAGAGTTATGACTATAATACACCCATTTTACTGGAGGGTAGTTCCTGTGACTTTAAAGCGATACCAGTGTCAAATAGAGTAATCAGCAGGGAATCAAATCCTTAATAGTCAGACAAATGTTTTGAGTGCTTGCTTTTTTCTTTTTGAACAAATGGGACAGCAGCTACTGTGAATAAATTTTAGTTGTTGCTCTCTTTACAATTGCTGCTTCTAGTCCTGAGTTCACCTAGTTTAAACAAAAACTTGTTTAACAAATTCTATTATATCAGGTTTATCTAACACGATTTTTGTATTTGCACTTATATTCCTCTTCATAGTGTATTTGAATTTGCTCTTAAATCATACCAGATCTTATATGTTCACAACTAGACTTTAAAGGCAGTAACCTACACAATAAGTAGAACTCCAGTTACTAAAGCTGTTGCTCTTTTAGTTTGAAGAATTGGCAAAATAACAGTATACTGTTTTATACAGTGAAATATATAATACTTATAAGCTGTTATGAGAACTTCCTTTTTCACAATGCAAATGTTGGTTCCAAAAAGACAGATGATTTTTTATAATTATTCTAAACTGGTATATTCCCCAAATTTTAAAAAATAAGATTTTATTTGCTACTGAAACAAAATTGAATGCTTTCCAACATAGATTAATACAAATCTTCTCTTACAGCTTTCCTAATATCTGCTTTGGCATTTTAAACCAATAAACATCTTCCCATTTTACAAAATGTGATACAAACGGAGTTACAAATGGAGTTTCAGACTACTTAATGAGGACTGCAGGTTCAAGGCCTTACTAAAGCACTGCTGAGCTTAGTAGATTTTCAACACAGTAATTATTTCCTGAATACTAGAATTTGCTGAATATATTCCAAGCACTCATTTTTCATACTGCATAATTAATCAAATTATAGCATTGTGTTACATTATTTTCACATTTTAATCTTGAGTAAGGTCATTCTCAAATTAGCTGGATCAGACAGTTTCACAGTAGTGATATATTTAGTCAACGATAGATGTATGACCCATTTATTATTCTTGTAGTAGCAGATGTTGGCAGCTATGCTCACTCCAAACGTAGTAGGTTTTCTGATGGTAAGGACTCTTCCATGTGGAAAAGACACGAACCTTATGTAGAGCTAGGAAGTGTCTAGGATGTGTCCTGTTATGTAGGTACAGTCACCTGAAGGTCGCAGAAGATAGTCCTATACCTTACAGAATAACATAGAAGATAGGCAAGTCCAAAATAAAGATCCTAAAACCCTGCTTAACTGGAGCTTAAGTTTGAAAGTACTTCAAATCTACCAGATCTTAATTTTTTGATTGTAAATTTCTCAAAGTGTCTAAAATCATCTACATCATAAACGTATATCATAAGCCTGTAAGTCTTCACAATGCTTAGCAGCTAGTCAATTAGCTCACACTTTCAACTGGTATTCCTCTGCTTTCTTTCCCTACAGGACCCAGTTTAGTAAACACTCGAAGCATGCACTATATGATGCTCTTTACGAAGGATGGCCAGAGAATATGTCAATTTTTTTTGTGATCCTCCTATGCTTCTTCAGGCTAGTGGTTAGACTGCTCTTCCTATATGTGAAAGACTCAGTTTAATAACCTTCTTTCCAGACAGAATCTGAACCAGAATCTTCCCATGTTAATTTTCTACCTAACAAACAAATGTTATTTTTCAACAGGCTCTGTAATTCTTCCTTTTGAAGTTGTTTCACCTTGCACAGGATACCAGCAAATTTATTGGATAAATAAAAAAGAAGAAGCAAAAATTAGCACAGCTAGAAATTATATCACTCAATTATAAGAAATGAGACTGGATATCAGTTTCTGCACCCGTGAATGTAGCCAGAGGAGTATTTGGGGAGAAGCCACCACTTGGAGGCACACTACATGCCAGTTCTCTGTGTTGGCTAACTCTCCTTTTGGCCCAATAAATATTTGATTATTCCACAGATCATAATGTAACTTCTAACTCAGAGAAGTCAAGGCTGGGAATTATGATCAGAAATCAGTATCTTCCTGTATCCAAGAATAAGTCAGCTAAAATCCATTCTGTTTCCAGAGGGACAGGGAATATGACTGAATCCTGTCCTCAGCATCTCATATTATCTAGTCCCCCACTCAGTATGTTGGATTCTGTGGAATGTGTTTTTAAGTGCCTAATCCTTCCTCATGCGTTACCTAAGGGAAACTAGGCACTGAGGTCAAGGTTGTGGATTGCCTCAGGCACATGGGTGCTGACAGCATATGTGTGTAGCAAGCAGTTTCCAATCCTAAATCCTTTTTCTATCTAGCCTTACATGGTCAAAGTTGTCCTGAGGTCTATAAAACTTGAATTAATGGTAGGTATTCTGTGACAGTATCCTGCATATGTGAAAGGTCCCATGCCTCAAGAGATTATATTATCCAGTACACATATATTAATCAGTAAAAAAGTAAAATTTATTTATAGTTACACTTATGAAGAAAATTATCTATACTAACTCATAAAGCTACCAAAAACACTAATAAAACTTGGATAAAAGAACAAAACCTGAATATTAAACTTCTTGACAGAGCAAGAAAATTACATAATTTTTGTGGAATTATCAGGAATTTTAAGTTTACAACTGTAAACCACAAATTAGTTCTAAAGGCATATTAAAATTAGAATATAGTAACAAAGTATTCTTACCTCCAGTTTCTTGTATAAATCTCTCAGTTCAGATGGTATCTCTAGGCTTTCCTCGCATTCTTCTCTATTTTCAACCTTTTTTTGTTTTAACTGATGTGACCGTAGCTTTTCATAACTACGTGTCAACTTTGAAAACTAAAAATGAAAGCAGAGTTGAACATGCAGAATCTATCAAAGATGACCACATGGCCAAAGTTTTCTTTAAACTAGAACTGCCAACTGCAGCTTCAGCATTCTGAATATTTAATCAATGTAATAAAGAATCAATTAATAAAGTTAATTTATTAGAGATGAACAAGACTAAGCTCTCATATAAATATTAACTAAGTGTTCAAACGGGTTCATTTGACAGCCACTTAATTCTGCTGAAGTTCTTTACGGCACTGTTACCCATAGTGTCATTTCCTCTACAATGTTTGTGTGGAATGTTCTATACTTGTTTACTGCCATCTTGTGTTGACTTTTTAAAGGGTGCTTCACTAGCCAGAACGAAGGATTATCATTAACGTATTTTATTTGCATATTTCATTTTTTTTCATGAAAATTGTTGAAATGTTATCTGTGTGATGATTGCATTCTTCTGGAATCATTAAGTACCAAAGGGTGTCTATGAGAATTAGACACTAAATACTGTTCTGCCTATTGATCTTACCATGAAAGCATGGCTTAGAAGTCAGAGGCAAAGGAATCAGAGGCAGAGAAGGGAAGGTACCAGTAGAAGTACCAGCCTCTTCAGAAGGTACCAGCCTCTTCAGAAAAATGGCCGGTCTGATCAACAGTAAAGGGGCTAGCGGCCGTTAACAGGTTTGATACAGCAAACTGACATTGTCTGGTACAGATATGTACACCTGGTTTCAAAAAAAAAAGGTCAACCAAGGATATTGACAAAGGAAACACTAAAAATACGGTCTTGAGGGAAGCCAAGTGAAAGAACTTTGTGAAGAATGTTAAGTAGAAAAGAAGCTTACAACTATGAATACTGATCATGTCTCTTGTTTTGTTCTTTTAAATTCAGGTATATAAGACTTTAAAAATTCTGACTCTAACATAAAGTTCTTTGTCTAACCAAACAAAATCCATAAAATCTCATATTTTTGTTAACTTCTCAAGTGAACTGCTGTCTGGAAAAGAAATTATCTCCAAGGAAGTAATTGGAAATGGAATGGAATCCTATTGAACTGACCTGGAATAAGCAATTGAGGTCTGTGCAGATAACAAAGATGGCCAAAGAAGTCCAGAAAAGATACAGAACAGAAACTGGAGTTAAAAAATCATCTGGAAACTTCCCAGAGACATTTGAGATGATTTGGGGAACTCGTAATATGGAACAGCAAAAAAGAATTGAAAAGATGACCAGAAGATAGATTGTCCTAGACTAGAAAATTTTATGAAATGGGGAGGTCCAGGGATAGATTTGACCAATTTGGCATTTCTGAATAGAAATCCTGTAACATGGACTTACAGAGCTGAGATACCACCTTCAGAACAAAATCAAAAGACTTGGAGAGAAGCTGCCTATATTTGAAATTGACCTTGCCAGAGAACACATTTAAGATAAAACATTTTAAATGGGTCAAAGGATCCAGGCTCAAACAACATGGAACTCATTGCCTTTGGAAGAAAGATGTCCTTTTTCAAATAACACAAGTTTTCTCTTGAATATATTATGGCATATGTGAACTGCCTGGGAAGAGCAAACTTGGATAAAGACAGGTATTAGACTGTTCATGCTAAAAAGGCTAGGAAATACAGGATCCAACACTTCAGCAAATCAGTCTAAAATGGAACAGAATGGCCCAAAAGAGAAAATTTAGTTTGAATATTAGATTTATATAATGAGAGTAGGACAGTTCAGACAGATTATAGTCTGGATGTTACCACGCCCAGAAACTAGACTAAAAGTCAAGAATCCTTCCATTTAATGCTAGATATTTGCTTTACAAATAAGGTCCAAGTTTTTCTATTTGCATGTTGTACAAGTTAAAAACAACAACAACAAAAAAAAGATGAGGCATGTTAGTGAGTTCTGGGTTTAGATCTGGGTTTAGATTTCTGAAAGTTAGATATCCAAGCATGAGCTACTCTGCATTAGAAAAAGCTGCCTCCAAATGCTTAGTCATTTCAGCTATCTTAAATTCTGGTCATACACTGACATGAATTATATTCTAGGGGTGTCCATTTCCCTCCATTGATTCTAAAGGGAGCCCAAGGTAGCTCAGACATAGTCATCTAGCTTTTAAATGTCTAAGTGAGTCAATTAGTTGAAAGTGCTTAAAGCAAGAATGGATTCTTGTTCTTCTGCTGAGGGATTTCTGTCATTTTCAAAAGGAGAATAACTACTAAACATTAATACAGAAAAAAATGAAGGAAAAAAGTAATGAAGATGAACCGCTAAAGTTTTTGCTATTTAATTATCACAAAAGGCTGTACATTTGAATGAGTGCAGCAGTATGGCCTAAGAGTTTCAGGTTACGTATCAGGAGTTAATTCCCTAACACAAGAAAAATACAGGTTTTACTGCATTCAACAGGCACACAGTCAATTCAGTGGGAATGTTGCTCATTAAACAGTTGCTTTTATCAGTAGCAAGGGTAAAAAGCACAGAGGACCACAGAAGCAGTATATCAGAGAGAAATTTGTTCTGAATAGCCTAGCATTCTTCCTGAGAGCTAAAAAAAAAGTGATCCTTTCTATTTCTACCAAGATTAGGAAGGAACAAAAATTGAGAGGGATTTTAAGAATACATGTGCAGAGAAAGATACAATGCTACTGGTAAATAGTAACACTCACACCATTTGTGCAAAACTAAATTGTAGCTCTTAAGATTATACAGTGTAGAAGGAGGTATAACTTTCAAGTGGGATAAGAACCAAAAGAAGGGAGAAAAAGGAGATAAGGCAAAGATTAATATTGTCAGGGAAGCTCTATATTGTAGATATGAGTTTGTGCAGCTAAGAATTGGGACATTAAAGTCATTCTATTGTAGACACTGCAGCACTGTAATTTAAGAAAGAAACTCAATAAGGAGATGTGGTAAAAGCCAGAGGAGCAAAGTGGGATAGTCCTACTGTCTTGCATAGGTGCTTGGAATTGTTCTGACAGGCAAAGTTCCTGTTTATCACATAGAGAATCTAGGCAGGCCTCCTAATTCAGGCACTCAACAGTTTACTTTTTCAGTCAATGTGTACTGGATAGGTATTATTACATGAAGAAATATGGTTTGGTGAAAGGAGAGCAATGGGAATCAGAAACCAAAATGCAAACGGCATCAGTGCTGAAACCTTTGGTAAAATAAATAGGATGACTGAGAGAGAAGGAAATGTTTGGAGGCATAGATCGGGAAAGTGATGTATACTATTAAGAGCTAGAAATCCAAACTTCTTGCATAAAGATAAAAGAAAAAGCAACCAGAAAACTCAAAGAAAGGTTAGGTGGTCTGAGTGGTAACTAAAAGGGAAAATCTTGGCAAGAAGTATAACCAGGTTTAGAGAGAGAAGCTTGTAGGTTAGGAAGTATCAGATTCTTTAAAAAAACACAAAGAGAAAACTTGCATTTGCCCATGGAAAGGACTTGTAGGGCAACTAACAACTTCAAAATCAAAATCTTTGTGAAAAATGACCTGGAGTTTCAATGTCAGAAAGTTGAATTTCAGTGAAGTTCTTACCAACAACATGTAACATAAACCCAGTCATTTTTAGCATGTGATAAAAAAAAAATTAAGAGGAAAATATTGCAGCAAATGTGAAAAAGGATGAGAAAAGAGAGCTCTGCTATATTTGGGGGGATAGTTCTGCATTGCTAAAGGTACCTTACAACTTATATGTAAAAACTCACACCATTTTTCATTGTATCATGTTTATCTTCTCAATAATCATGCTAAGATGTTGTTTCTTTTTCTGTAATTTCTGTAAATTATAAAATAGCTTTTGTCTCTAGCTACTTTCCCAAATGATTAAAAGTGTTAATTACATAACAATGAAAACAGTCTCTGCTTACTCACAGAACTGTTTGCCAAATCAATTTCCTATATAAAAGAAAAAATAAAGACAACATAACCTTAAAAATAAGTTATACATTATACATATATAAAGTTGTTTGATGGATTTGGGTGGTAAGTGTTACCACCTCTAAATGAAAATAATGATATCCAATTTATGCATTCTGAGATGATTCTATGAGAAGTGTGATGACTGGCAATTTTTAATTATAACAGTAAATCTCTGGTAGGAGAATCCAGTGAAGGAAACAGTAGAATAGCAGGAAAAACAAAGCAGAATTGTGTATGTTAACTTGTTAAAATCTGAGAAACAGAACAGACTGAAGTTCACTATGAATTTAGATTCATGACTGAAGTGGAAAATAATGAAAAAACAAAAATACAGGCACAGAGCAAACACAGCCAAATACAATCATAGAATCATAGAACCATAGAATCATAGAACCATAGAACAATTTGGGTTGGAAGGGGCCTTTAAAGATCATCTAGTTGCAACCCCCCTGCCATGGGCAGGGACACCTTCCACTAGATCAGGTTGCTCAAAGCCCCATCCAACCTGGCCTTGGACACTTCGAACAATGGGGCATCCACAACTTCTCTGCACAACCTGTACCAGTGCATCACCACCCTCATCGGAAAAAAAAATTCTTCTTTATGTACAATCTAAATCTACTCTCTTTCAGTTTAACACCCTTGCCCCTTCTCCTGGTACTACAGGCCCTTGTCAAAAGTCCCTCTCCAGCTTTCTTATAAGCCCCCTTTAAGTACTGAAAGGCCACAATAAGGTCTCCCCAGAACCTCTTCTTACCCAGGCTGAACAACCCCAACTCTCTCAGCCTTTCCTTATAGAGCTGTTCCATCCCTCTGATCATCTTCGTTACTCTCCATGTTACTCTCATTTTGATACTATGTTCCCTTATGGAAAGCTATCAGACCACTTTAATATTCCCTGTAAATCAGGCAAACTAAAACCAGAAAAAAATACAGCAAAGACATGATGAGAATAGTTTAAGTCTTAAAATTCCTAATGTGCATCAGAGTCTTATTAGCATGAATCTAATTACCTATTCTAAACCCAAGGTTTTAGTTTATTAGTCCAAAGTCAGGAAATCAAGTATCTGTCTTCATAACAGATATCAAAACCACATCAAAATCCATCCAAAGTGTTTGGACGTGTCAGTACAGAAATGATAATTGAGCTTGGTAGGAAGCTGTAGTCATCATCATTTGTATGACATGATTCACCTTTCCCAAATCAATAAAGGTACATCTATACCATAAGGCATGTATAAGCTCTTTATACAGCAGTCATAAAATAATGAAACAGATTTTTCTTACTTGAGATTGCAGTGCTTGAAACTGAGTTTCATAATTTTGAGCCATTTCATATTTAGTTTTCTGTAAGTCTTCCAGTTTCTGTCGTAGCAGTCCCACCTGCAGTTAGAAAGCATTCAAATTTACCTTTTCTGAAGTGTTCTAAAATATGTCATTTTTGGAATAGTCATTTGAAACACTGAAAGAAGACCATTTCTTGAAAGGCAGATATGAAATATATATATTAATTCAGTAAATTAATAATAAAACTGGCTATCACAAACCCAGATAGTGTCAACATCAAGTTAGGGATTTTATAGTAAAAAAAATCTCATTGTATGCTTATGTTATGATTTAATGATAATACTGTATGAGTCTGTCATGAAAGACCATTTACTGAAAGCTCTGCTGACCCAACTATACAAATGAACTGCTGTGCCCCATTGTGAAAATTTTGCTTGAATGGCTTATAAAAATCATATAAATGACTTTCAACTACTTATGTACAAATTATCGGGAGACACTGTAGACTTGTTTCAGCATGGCACCTATGTTTTTCTGGAGGGGCAGCAGGAAGCTAGGTAAAATATGCTAAAATATTTCAGATAAAAACTCTGTACAGGCAAATAAATTGATGCTTTAAGGATTGGCTAGCTGAATTATTCTCTTGGCTCCTCTGACTGCAGTGACTAAGGGCAAGTTCCTAATTGCTCATTAGGGAGAGTTATTGCATTTTCAACACTCCCATTGGCAGTTTAGACACCTAGCTCACACAAGGATGCCCATGTGTAAACACCTAACTTCAGATGTCTTGAACTAGAACTGAATGCTAGGATTTACTGATGCTTCTGAATGAATATTCAGCAGACAAGACTGTGAAGTACGGACAACATCAGATACACTGGGGCTTTCAGTTTGATAAGCAAGTCTAAGTAATAATATAATTCAAACCTTCACTATTAATAATAAAATTATCATACAAAGATATCATGTATTTACATTATCATGTAAAATGATAACAATCAGGTATAAACAGGAATTACAAAGACACAATTTTGTGAAACTTTTTGAACTGTACAATTCCATTTAAAATTTCTGATGAAACTAGAAGTGTTGGCATTTAGAAAAACCATCAAATTATCTTTTTACAGCTAAACTGAGAATATTTGATTTAGACTTTAGGGAAATAGAAGAAATATGAGACTTTCAATGACATTTTTACAATCGCTTTTCAGAACAGAAGCACGCTTTAAAACAAAACACTAAGGATAATTGGTGACCTTTAAAGGATGTTTGGTATTTTTACATGATAGAACAAACAGGTCTCCTCACAGAGCATTTAGAACACACTATTAACTAACTACCAGAATAAATACTTCTTTATAGAACGTGATATTCTTAAATACCTCTTGACCTTTCTGATCCAGTTTGCTTTGGGCACTTGCTAATTCTTGATCCTGGATATCCACCTTTGCTTCTAAAGCTTTCATCTTCCTTCCCCATTCCACCTTCTTGCTGTTTACCATGATGTCAATTTGATGCACTAATTCCTGAAGTTTAGCTTCACATGGAGAAGCTCTAATAATATATTAAAAAAAGATATTTATTTTTTCAGTTAAAGAATAAGGGAGAAAACAAATTTTTATTTACATTGCTAAGATTTTATTTTAATTCTGATGGAAATAACCACTTTTCAACATGAGAAAGAAAGAAATCGGAAAGCTAAATGATGCCTTCAAATGTAGGTGGAATCTCACTTCATCTATCTTAAATTTGCCTGAAGTAAAAATCAGAGTATTTAGCATATCCTGGACTATTTGCCTAGCTTAAATGCTGTTCGATATCCTCTTACTCCTTCAGGGATGAACTGTCAAACAAGCATAAGTTGAGCTGAAAGTATCCAGGCCCAAACCTCAATGGACAAGAGTAGGAGAAGCTGAATATTAAGTTGCTTATGGGCACAGGATTCCCACAAAGGATACATAATGATGGAAGCAGAGTTTGTTGGAAGAAGTTATTCAACAGCTGGCTTGAAAGCGAGCCACAATTCTCACTTGCTAGTTCAACTTTTATACCCTTTTTTTACTTTTTCATGTTCTCTTTGTGGAAAATGGACTTGAATAACCAGGTGACTTGTATAATAACAGTAAATTTTAATTTTACTAGGAAGCACAGAAGTGAGTGCATTTTGAAAAAGAACTTGTCTTTGAGGGACCATGTGCTGGATTTCATATAGATTTGTACAGTATCTGCAACATAAACATTAGTTTTTTTCCCAGACTTCTGAGATTAAATTTAGAATACATCCCTTACACTGTGACTTCATTGTCAGTAAAAGACAATGTTTTACACTGTTGCTTTAGGAATATGATGTGATCTAAGTAACAAAATAATGATATATGGTTAATTTATGGTATATTAGAAGGGCCACCAGAAACTGAAAGCAGTCAAAGTTGCCCTCTTATACTGCCCCTTATATAGGAGCAGTACACTAATTTTAAAAAATGAAACTTTGTCTGGACAGTGTCAAATAATGTTTAAATCAGTTAGTGTATGTCATTTAGCAGATCTATACAAAATACCTGAATTTTAGTATGGAGATTTCTTTATTACATACCCATTCCAACTTTGTATTTGATGATGAATATAAGAAAAATTTGAAATAAGAAATATATCGATTATAGAAAATTTTGCTCTGGATACTCTTTTATGCAAGAAATTGCATAATTCTTTCTACACTCTAAGACTTTTTATTTGTAGAAATGACTATTTAACATCAAAATTATACAGTCCTTGTAGGTTATATGAGATATTTTTCCTGAAGTATTTTGGAGAGTTTATTGCCCAGTTAACCTCAGTTGTTTATGAACTGATAGCTTCTCTCAATCTGTAAATTTACAGCATTTCAGATTTGCAATTATTTATTTAACAGTCAGAATCTTTCTAGAGTTCATGGATCTATTCAACCTTCAGTGAAACATTCCAGGTTTTTGTCCTTTTTTATTTTCCTGACTTACTGCTTGTTATCCACTTAACCTAGGATTTTAGGGTTTGGGAAAAAGATAAAGGAGACAATGTACACTCCTGCCTAATTCCTACCCATAAAATAAAGAAGGGGAATTTTATTCCATTATCACTCAGAGCTGCTTTTGAACTGTTAAAAAGAAGAATTACCTATTGAACAAATTGCTTAACTATGCATATGAGCCCATAAATTTTCTATAAAACTTAATTTCCATCAAGTCATATGGAAAAAAAACCCCAGACTGTTTTCTATCACTAGATTAATTACACATCACCAAAAAAAAAAAATCTGTTATTTCTCAATCACTAAAGACTTCAATTTGATCTCAGTTTACTTAAATTGAGATACGAGATCAGAATTAGTTAAGACAGTATTTTTGATAAAAGCCTTTAGCACTTACCACTGTAATGCTTGCTTCATGTCATTTATTGAAATAAAAATATTTTTATCAACTTTTTTTTTTAAATACCACAACTTCTAAGCATTTTTAGTATGTTCAGAGCTCATAGAATGTTGGATGTAGATATTTTTGTATTAAGTACCAGAAGGGGCATATATCTCTCTGAAATGAGGAAAACCTTTCATTGGCTGTTTTCAGCCAGTGAAATAATGTGTGGAATTTTTAAACTTTTTGAGGAGTAGAATCTTTTTCATTTCACTTTCTGTAAACATTTACTTTCCACACAACTTTTATTAGTGGCATCTGTTTTCCGCATATCCTGTTTTCATGAGTTAACTATTGATAAACTTTTATACTTCTTTCCCACTTCTTTTTTAGAGCTTTTTTATACCTTTCTTGTCTCCTGTTCTAGTTTTAATTGCTTTACTTTTTTTTTTCTAAATAAGAGATTTTATGTTTAAGTTACCCTAATATACAGCTTTATTACTTTCTTTAGAAGACATACTTCTATCTTATCTTTATAACAGATTGGAATCTACTGAAATGTGTCACGTTTAGTTGTTGCAACCTTATCTTGGCCATAAAAAAAAATTTCTCATTTAAAATCTTCAAATTACTCTTTTCAATGGTACGATCTGATCATTGTGAAAATTTCTGCATTTTTGTCTCTGCAATGATTTAGAGATTAGTGTATCCAATTACTTCCATATCTAAATGAAGGTACAAATAAAACCAGTGTTTCTCCACTGTCAACTCTCTCTCCCTTATCTCAACCAGTTATACTGTTACTGAACTGTTAGTGGTACACCTCCTTCCTCTTCACTTTTTTCATCTGTCATAGTGACTATTCACTGTACAACTGAAGTTTAATCTGCATTTAATTTCCATTTCCTCTTACTGTTGCATAATTTTCAAGTCTCTTCTTTCTTTTTTTGGTTTTGATTAGAAGCCTATATTGAATTTCCTCTTGATAAAACTAGCAATTGTATTCTTTCACAAATTTAACTATCCCTCCTGATATCTAAACTGATGCAAAAAATGTATTGTAACCTATTTCTTTTCATGATAATAAATTTAGCCTTCTGATAAACAAGTTTCTTCCCTTAAAATTATCTAAGAATGCTGTGATGTTGTTTTGAGTTATGACATGTTCCATTTTCCTTTTAATAATAATAATATTTATCTCACTGACATTTTCCCCAAAAGTAAAAGTGATAGCCACTGGTTATAATTTAATTGGCTCTTTAACTTATAAAAATTTAAAAGCTATGTTCTCTTGACTGCTGATAATACACACCTTTGTGTACACATAAAGTGCCTTTGTGATCGCTAATCATTTTGCAGCTATTCTAATATCTCTACAGCATGATGGCTTGTTAAAGGAGCATAGCTATTTCCTTAAAATGAGCATAGATATTATTTTATGAAATAATTGACATAGAGACAGTCACACAGAGACAAAAGATGGTGCAGCATCTGAATAATGTAGTAGCAAACTGCAAAAGGGTTAATGATAAAAAGCACAGCAGTATGCCTGTAACTGCAGCATCCTAGGAAGCGTTGGAGAGGATTTCAATACCCAAAATTAGCACAGAATGCCACTTTGTGTCACGAACATTACAATCTAGCATATGTTTTTGGTGGACATTGCAACTGAGAATATGCCAAGCAATTAGGAACTCTACTTTAGCAGAGCCACACTTAACCAAACACAAACTGAGCCATAACTCAGAGGTAACATCCCTATTGCCAGTGAGCCTTCAGCTGCTGAGTGTGCTGCCAGCAAATCGCTGAAGAACAGTAAGATAACTAACATGCTCCTCTACTGTAAATGACTGTGCAAACCAAGCCTTAATATAAGCAGATGCTTTTACTCCTGGTAGTTGATACCACCACCTTGTGTGAATGCTAGCATGAAAATGCTTCCCTGCTTTTCTCGTAATCTTTCACGTCCCAGCTGTTCAGCTAGTGCTCCAAACGTCGGCCCTCCCAGTGGCTGTGCAGACATGCTGAAGTCCCCTGTCTGTAGGTTGTGCTCTGGGTCAAGTGCTGGTCCCACATGCTCTGCTTTTCATATCCTGCATGCTCAACTTCTGATTGCACTACACTAAAAAAAGAGTTCCTTAACATAGAATCATAGAATAGTTTGGGTTGGAAGGGACCTTTAAAGGTCATCTAGTGGACGGATGGATATGTGTTTATCGAGTATCTCTTTTTGGTGCTTAAATGGTGCATATCGCTTGTTAGGATAATTATTACAGGAAATGGGAGCAAATTTTTTAGATTTACAATATCATATTAAAACTCAACATGATTTTTTTTAAAGTAAAATTCTTTAAAACTTTTTATATCAACAAATGATCGAAACTTTAACATTATCAATGTTAAGCTTGGAAAGGCTTTTTAAATACACACATAAATTTTAATGCCTTTTTAATGTTAAAACTGTTAGCAATGCCTTTTAAAAATTTAATATGAGTCATAGAATGATAATAATCAAAGTGCAAGCAAGTAGTACACTGTGATGTACATAGCACAAAACAAAAATACCCCCTCTCAAGTGCCTGAAACTCATCTCAAAACAGCATTAATGATGCAGCAAACTTTGATTCCCTCTGGGTGGAACACAAAGTGGGATTTCACAAACAGAAGATGAAGCGATACTGCATCAGGACTACCTTGTCCTTAATACTGCTATAAGGACTTGGGCCTTTCCAGCTTCATGTAATGTCAGGTGCCAACACTTTGGTGAACCATCAGCAACGACTCAGCTATCGGATTTTAACCTTCAGAAATAGGTACTTTCTTTATTGTGTGTCATGTGGATCATCTAAATATTGTTATGCAAGTGCAAATGCAACCTCTAGCCTGGATCACCAGGTTATCCTTTCAGATCCACCATGGCTGATGTTTTTCCCTCTTTAAGTTTCTTTCACCTGTCTCTTTCAGATCATCCCGCACAAGGCAAGTTCTGCCACTGCTGCTAGAAAATTTTCTCTCAACAGTTCTGGCATGCTTCTTGAACCTAGAACCACCAATATATAAAACGGAGCTGTTGAATGAAAAATCCCTTCTGAAACACTTCTCAGTCTATTGTCACCTTCTCTGTCTAATTCCTTACCCAGATGCCCTGGGTACACCTGCAGCTGAAAAAGGAAAGCTGTATCTGAAGCTGTAGATGACTGCTGCCGTTCTACTACCAGAACTACTCTGTATCATGGTATTACAAACAGATCTCCATAAAGATGTATTTGGTAGTTATCCCCACCTATTATCATAGAGGTACTACTAGCTGCTGTAACTATTCTTTTAGTCCATTCAGTGTTTTGAAAAAAGTGCTAACTATCCCCCCTCAGAATATGGCCAGTCATATGGTATCACAATCATGAGAATTTATTTTGATCACTGAATGTGGAATATGGAAAACTCTGCTATCTTTTGTTTAATATGCCATCAGGTAAACAAACACACAAAGAACAAGTTTTCCCATAAAGCGAAGAAGTATGCATATGTCTTTTTACCCATATACATTCAGCATTCCCACTTTGCTGAATGCATACATCACATGGATTCTTCATACATGGAAGTAATGACTTGTACTTAAGCAAGTGGCAGCTATTTTTTTTTTTTAGTTGCATTTACTTTGAAACAGCTCAAAATACTTAATGGTATCTCATTTTTAAAGTGATCTAGGCAAGCTCTTAGTCTTCTTTTGTTCTATCCCCATATTGGTGAAAACAGAGATGATTCATATTCTGCTGTCATTAATAACTATTTATCTTCATGTAAAATCTAGGTGTTTCTGAATTTAGACAAATCAAAATCCAGATAAGTTTTACCAACTCCAGGCCTTTATCACAAATGATTTTTGCACTCGTTAGACCTTTCTAGCTCTATTTATCTGTCTTTTGCTTTGGAGTTCTGCACAGATCTATATTTTTCTGATTGTTTCCTAATAGACATAGAAAGAATATTATTGTCCATAAACTTTAGAATAAAGTTGTTATTCAGGAACTGACATTTTAAGAAATGTTTGGTTCATACTCCCAGTCTCTACTTCATGCCTTCTTCCCTTATTACTCAGGTTTGCTGACAAACAAGAAAATATGTATGACCATTTTTGTGCAAACACAAGCAAAACCTATGGCAGAACAATGTTAACAAAGATTTCCATCTTACATAATACATTCATTAGTTTTTGGCCCTTAACCCAGCTTCTAGAGCCAATATTAATACATTTTATCTTCTTAAAACTTGCTTTAAAAATAGGAGATACATAAACCGGTTGTGATACAATAGTCCATTAGAATCTTCCACCCCAAAGTTCCATTACATGAACTACAACTAATTTATTTAACAATTTTCAGTCATACAGAATCATACACATCTGTGGATGGATAATTTACGATTTATGAGTTCTTGCAGCTGGGATGTACTTGTCATGATTTCCACCACCATTATTCAGCCATCTTCCCAAACTTAAAGCTATCTGCATTGTCTCTGGAATACCGTCTGCATAAACTGAAATGAATGTGTATTCTAAACTACTCTTCCAGATTCTTTGTATAGTTAATGGAAATAAATGGCTACTGAGAATACCTGGTTTATGAGGGGACAAATCACTCTCTAGATTCATCTGCAATGGCCTGAAATTTCACATATGTGGATTACAACAAAGGCCAGGCAGGATCTGAACTCTTGAAATAGGCTTCTGATTTGTTAAAATAGTATCCAAAGAATAGCAATGTTTTGGGTTTTTTTTAAATTCAATTTTTTATATGACTATATTTACCAATCATGTCACTAACAAAAATAATACCTCTCAAAGCCAAAAAAAAAAAGCCACGTTGTTCAGAATATAATATTTTACTGCAGCAATTTTTTTCTACGATGAAAAGTGCACACGTTATTCTTCAGTACAACAGAGCACACTTTCAAATCCTATTAAAACTTTCTCGGGCCAGAATAAGATGTGATACAATATGCGCTTTTCTGTTATTTTAAGAAATACTTTTACACTTAATGTGCATCATATTACCTTGGACTGCTGCTTGGTAATAATGATAGAAGAAACTGTTTTATATGAAAAATAGGTTATAAGTTTATTTACAAATTATGATAGATAAACATTCTATTTAGCTCATTGTATGGGGAAGTATTTTTTATATTGCTGTGTTCCTTGAACAGATGAGGTCCTATGTCAAATCTCATCCTTGTTTACACTTCTTTAGAAAGATTTTGTGTTGTACTAATATATTTTTAGATTAACACTAAAAGAACTAAACTTGGATTATGTAAAAAAAAGATGTTGTAATGAAAAGTGCACTTAACACTTGGGAAGAACAATTGTGGTTATTACCTGTGCAAAATAAGACTAGGGCTTTAGCAATTGATAGCCTTGTTTTTAAGATTTTTGAATGTTTTAAGAGCTGTGATATGTAAGTTTATACTGCTGTAGCCTAGCAACTTCACTATTTTTTAAAACAGTTTAAAATAACATTTCTTAACATCTTAATAAAACCCCACATAGCTTTCTTTTTTCCCCCTTTTGTTCAGGTATGAAGATTTAAAAAAAATTAAATAACTAACAAAACCAGTCAGTAGATTAGCTAAAGCAATAAGATGTGTTGTCTTAATTATCAGTAACTTCCCAAGTTTTCATAGAAAGCAGCAGAAGAAATTGAGAAAGTATCATGTTTTCTTCTAAAATCATTAATATTTTGTGTTTCACATTTTTAATAAACCCACATAGTTCGATTCCATTATATATTCAACTTCCAGACAGTAAGTCATTAATTACTTACTTAGCAACAGCTTGATCCTGAAACACTTGTAAGTCCTGCTCCATATTACTGGTGGTCATTTTAACCTGTTGAAACAACAAAAATTAAATAATTCAGATCCTTAAATGCGTGCATTTACATAGGCAAGTACTGCATACTAGATAGTTCTATGCCTTCCTTTCAATTTCTGTAATTCTCCCATTGCAAACAACCAGGGCAGGAGAACGTAGCTCTCATTACAGGCTGGAACGAGCAAGATGAAAACTTCTGGAGTAAGCTCAGCTCCGTGTCAGCAGCTCTTGCCCTTGGTGCAGCACTGAGATACTAGAGGTGGTGCTAGCTTGAGGATAGCCCTGGATTTCCATGAGGAAGTTTGTTTTGGATCATTCCCTGTTGTGTGATGTCAATGATGTGCCAAGACACTCTAAAACACATAAACCTAAATTTGTCATAGATCCATGGCTGCATTCGTCAACCCATACCTTGACACACCCTAATTAACCTATACCCAGGCTATAATTGCTCTCAAACACAATTTTGAATGCCTATTGACTATTTGCTCCCTTGCTTAGCAGATGCGGCGCTGAGACACACAGCCCTCAAGTACCTCCGCAGAAAGACCAGAACAAGACTGTTGCTGGGACCAGTCTGGTTCTGTGGGTCCAGCAGGACACAAGGACGTGGGGCAAACCTGGCTGCATGCCAGAACAGGAACCAGCCACGTTATGCTTGACAGGGTGGCATGAAACAGCCCTAGTTCCTCATGGGGGTGAGCAGTGGGGCTCTCAAGGGCACGGGTACCGGTACATACAGATGTGTGGACACCACCACAGGGCACCGCAGCCTTGGCCTCCACAGGGACCAGCACCTGAGGTGACACTGCCACATGGCACCACAGCCTTAGCCTCCTCAGGGACCAGCACCTGAGGTGACACCGCCACAGGGGCAGCTGTGGCTCTGACGGGGAGCTGAGGTGACACTGCCACAGAACCACCTCCCTCGACTCCACAGGAGACCACAGCAGCCGAGGTGACACAGGCACCGGGGCAGCCTTGGCTGTGCCGGCCACCTGAGGAG